CAAAAAAAAAAAAAAAAAAAAAAAAAAAAAAAAAAAAAAAGAAAAGACAAACCAACATAAATGCCTAAGAAACAAGATGACAAACAAACAGAAAATGGGCAAATGAGGTGAACATATGTTTCGCAGAAGAAATACAAATGGTCAATAAACATGAAAAACTGTTGACTCTTCCAATAATCAGGAATATGCAAATCAAAAGATACTACTGGGCATTCATTAGACTAGAAAAAAAATCAGATGTATACCAAATTGTGGCAAGGATGAGGAGAAACAGGAATACTTATACAATTGCTAGAGGGAATATAAATTGTAGAATCAATCTGAAGAATAATTTGGTGAAACCAAGTGAGTTTAAAAGATATATAATCAATCCTGTATCAATCCTATGACCTAGTAATTTCACTCCTAGGAATATACATTAGAAACTCTCAAACAAGTACATATAGAGACATATACAGTATTCATCGTAGCACTGTTTGACAAATGGGACAAAAGGGAAAAATTACCTAGACAACTCTTAATAGAGGAACAGATAAAGCATATTCTCACAATGAAATACTATATAGAGATTAATATGGATCCGATATACAACTATCAATGTAGAAGAATCCTGTTAATAACAGCCTTATATGTAAAAATGCAAGCAACAAAAAGATACAATAGGTGGCTGGGCGCGGTGGCTCACGCCTGTAATCCCAGCACTTTGGGAGGCCAAGGCAGGTGGATCACGAGGTCAAGAGATCGAGACCATCCTGGTCAACATGGTGAAACCCCGTCTCTACTAAAAATACAAAAATTCAGCTGGGCATGGTGGCGTGTGCCTGTAATCCCAGCTACTCAGGAGGCTGAGGCAGGAGAATTGCTTGAACCCAGGAGGCGGAGGTTGCGGTGAGCCGAGATCGCGCCATTGCACTCCAGCCTGGGTAACGAGCAAAACTCCGTCTCAAAAGAAAAGAAAAAAAAAAAAAAGATACAATAGGTTACATTTTAGATTAAAAAATTATTATAGATATGTGTAGTAAAACAATAAAAACCTAAATGATATTGACATATAAATCATTTCAGAATACTGGTTATCACTGACAAGTGAGGGAAATAGGTGTGAAAAGGTAAAACATTGTTTCTAACTACGTCAGAAATTGTATGAAATTTTAAAAAATGCAAAGAACTAGCATTAGTTAAATCTGGACAGTCCCTACATGAATGAAGCAAGAAAGAGTGCTAAGGGAAAGGGAATAACACATGCCAAGGCTAGGAGACAGAGGGAATGCTGGAGCTAGAAGTTAAAGAGGTAACTTGGGCCCGATGATAGTTAAGACAAGTTAAGAAATGTACTGAGGACTGCAGGACAGAAATATAAAGTGGTGCTTAATTGCTTAGTACAAACTCTGGATGGAGCCAGAATGCATGGGTTTGAATACTGCCTGGCTCTATGATTTGTTAGCTGTGTGACCTTGAACAAATTATTTAATCTCAGCTTCAATTTCTTCAACTGTAAAAAAAAAAGGATAATAACAGCATTTATACTATTGTTAGAATTATATAAATGTTAGCTATTATTATTACTATTCCCACGTTTTCTGCCACACACACACACACACATATATATATATATGAGTCACATGAGAATAAACTTGAAGGGATTTGGAACCCCAGATGAGTTGGTTTGCTGGGGACTCTTAACAGTCCTGGGTCCTACTCATTCTCTTGTATTCCCCCTTTACCTCTTAACATTTAGGAAGGAGTGGGAGGTAAAGAGACAGCAAGTACAGAGGACTGAAAGAGTCTGGCTTTTTTTTTTTAAGAGACAAGGTCTCACTCTGTCATCCATGCTAGAATGCAGTGGTATAATCATAAATCACAGCTCACTGAAACCTCAAACCACTGGACTCAAGTGATCCTCCTGCCTCAGCCTGAAACAAGTACAAATTCCTGGGACTACAGGCACATGCTACCATACCTGGCTACTTTTAATTTTTTTTGAAGAGGTGGGATCTTGCTATGCTGCCCAGGCTGGTCTCGAACTCCCAGCCTCAAGCAATCCTCCACCTCAGTCTCATATAGTGCTGGGATTACAGGCATGAGCCACCATGTACAGCCAAGTGTGGCTGTTAAAAGCAGAAAACACAGTGTTTCCTCCAAAGAAAGTACAGGAAAAGTTGAGAAGTGTGTTTTTTAGTATAAATGGAAGAAACCAGAGATATTACAGAAACAAGAGCAAGTACAGGAAAAGTTGAGAAGTGTGTTTTTTAGTATAAATGGAAGAAACCATAAGTATTGGTATTTATGCTGATGGAGCAATACCAATGAAGAGAAAGGTGACCCAAGAGAAGAAGTAACTGATAGAGATCCCTGAGCAGCAGCTGGGTACAGGTGGCAAAATTAGTTTGAGAGCAAGGAGGACACAAATTCCAGTGACAGCAGCACAAGAAGTGACAGGCAGGACGGAGATATGTAAGTTTGCTGAGATAGTGGAAAAGTGGTTCTTTTGCAATGGGTTCTGTTTTCTTTATAAAATAAAACAGGTAGTGAGCATACCAGCCAAGAGGCAGGGAACAGGGGTAGAGTGGTTTCCTGAGGAAGAACATGGAAAAGCTCTAAAATAGCCACTATAAAAATGGGAAGAAAAACTGATCAGGAGCAGACAGAATGTGGAACAGCTGAGGCTGGAGACCATGAATACGCAGTGGACCAACCTGCAAGACTGTGATTTTTCCTAGCAGCATTCAGCAGACTACAAGTACAGAAAAGGCAGGAACATCAATCCAAGGCTGGATGTATCAGAAGGAAAAACAGGGCAAAAGCTCATGATAATGGCAAGAAAGTCGTTGAAATGACGGATCATGGTGTGCCTATGTTGGATAAGAAAGAGACGGCAGGAAATGGTGAAAAGACAGGGAGAAAAAAGGTTTGGAATTAGAGCCTAATACACACAATTAAGATGACAAAGAGTAGGACCAACTGGGAGCTAGATGGATAGGAGGCTGGGGCAAAAGAACAGAAAGTGTGAATTAAGGATTTTAGTTGCAGAGCAAATCCTGATAATAGTAAGGGCCAGGCTAAGGCTACATTGAAGACTGGCTAAAGTGGTGTGGGCTAAAGGTCAAAGGAGAATCAAAAGAGGTAGAGAAAACAAGAAGTCATAATTTTCGATGAGATATGCTCTGTATCTTTAGCCCTATAGCCACTTGGGACAATAACTGGGAATGGAAACTGTATAAGGGAGTAGTGTGAGATAAACCATATGGTTTGTGAATCTACATAACTATGATATGAATATTTTAATCTAAATTTAGTAAGGATTTTATACATGGATGCTGTGCTGTTAAATATCAGGCTAAGAATTGTAATATTAAGGTAGAAACAGAATCAAGAAGGTATTCTTACGAGACTGCATGCTTAAATGCATCATAGGCACCATATCCGGGTCTCTTGTACTTGTCATCAAAGACCCAGGCAGTCCTCTGGAATAGGCTTTCCAGCTGCTCATCCTTGGTATATTCTAACACCTCAGCAACATGTCGAAGAATGCTATAAACCTAGAAATAAAACGAAAAGCTCAACAATTCGAAGAGATCTATAAAAAATATTTTTACATTTTAGTAGACAACAAAATTTGACTACAATAATTCTTTAACAATAAAAAATCTCCATACAAGTTCTTTCTCCATAGGGAAATACTCACTTTCCCATAATAAACTCAAGTGGGTATAAAAGTAGAGACTATACAATGTAGGTCCTAAGACCTAGATCAAGTCTTGACAGTAACAGTATCTCTGAACTTGTTTCCTCCTATGGAAAAAGAAAATATTCGTATCTCTCTTCCTTACTACAGAGAGTACTTGTACAGATCAAATATATAAACCACACAGTATAAATGGAAAACAATTAAACGAATGTAAGTTGCTATTATTACTCCATGAGGGCAGAATCAGGATTGAAAGTTTTTTGTTGTTGTAATCTTACCCACTTGCCAAACTTTTTCTTATCTCCTAAAATTAACATAGGGTGTAGAGGAAAAGTACTAAAAAGGTCTTCATCAGAGTTATACATAAAAATTGAGTGAGTCTGCTCAATGTTTTGAAATATTAACAAAAAAATTAAAAAATTTAAAAAAATTGAGAAAAGGTACTGACATTGAATAACTCTTCCATTTTAACATCTCGATAAGATCTATTAACATACTCATTTTAACAATATCCTATCAAAAAATATGGAATTTTCCCGGAAAACTACTTCTCAAAAGTTAGTGGGACCTGAGAGTTGGTATTTCTAAAAAAGAATCAGGTGATGCCAATGCTCTTAATTGAGAGACAACATTCTGAGTGATAAGGTCCTAGAGTTTATTAAAAAGAGATTTTACTAACAGTGTTTTCAAATGTGTAAACCACACTGCATAACTGTAAATACATCAGTAAACAAACAAAAAAAAAAAAAAAAAAAAAAAAAAGATTTGGGTAACTAATGGCTTGTAGACCTTTACTTTTTCTTATACTGGGATTAAGCAAGATTTTTAAAATCTCTTCATTGAAACTTTTTTCTTTGATATTTTGTCTTGAGGACAGAAACACTCATGGCAGAAAAGAACAGACACCAGAGAAGGGCAAAGAAAATAGAAGCAATAGAAGCAGTACCATTAAGAACTGAGGATGGGCTGGGAACACTGGCTTACGCCTGTAATCTCAAATACTCTGGGAGGCAGAGCCAAACGGATCGCTTGAGCCCAGGTGGAGGTGGTTACAAGTAAGCTGAGATTGCGCCACTGTACTCCAGCCTGGGCAAGACTTTGACCCGACCCCCCCCCCCCCCCACCCCAACGCCAAGGATGTAGAGAATGAAAGATAACTTAAATAGGCCTGGGCAAGACTGGACAAGCCTTTGAGAGAGACACACACACACACCCCTGTGAGGATGCAGAGAATGAAGGATAACTTAAATAGGACCTGAGAAAAGAGAAATACTGACAGAAGAAATGTGAAGAAATGAAATGGCTATCTTTGATTTACCAGTGCTTACTGTGGATGACAAAAGTAGGAAGTAAGAGCAAAAATAAGAAAAAAAAGAAAGAAGGAATAATCCTAACGTGCTAGTGGAGGAAAAAAATAGAAAAACAAAACAAAACAAAAAAACTAGTAACAGGCCTCTCTGCCTTGCTTTCCTGGATTCACAGACATTTCACAAACCCTTTTTCATTTTTTTTTTTTTTTTTTTTGGGATGGAGTTTTGCTCGTTACCCAGGCTGGAGTGTAATGGCGCGATTTCGGCTCACCGCAACCTCCGCCTCCTGGGTTCAAGCAATTCTCATACCTCAGCCTCCCGAGTAGCTGGGACTACAGGCGTGCGCCACCATGCCCAGCTAATTTTTGTATTTTTAGTAGAGACGGGGTTTCACCATGTTGACCAGGATGGTCTCAATCTCTTGACCTCGTGATCCACCCGCCTCAGCCTCCCAAAGTGCTGGGATTATAGGCCTGAGCTACAGCGCCCGGCCCCCTTTTTCATTCTTAACACACAACAGCTGGTTATCTCTGTTATCCTTATCCCCACAGGGTTGAAAAATCAAGAACTATATTTTGGCTAAGTGCACTGGCTCACTTCTATAATTCCAGCACTTTGGGGGGCTGAGGCTCGAGGATCACTTGAGGCCCAGGGTTTGAGACCAACCTGGACAAAACAGCAATACCTCATTTCTATTTAAACAAACAAAAAAAACCCACTGTATTTTATGAGGCAGTCCAATTGGAAGCAAGTCAAACCAGCTGAAGTCACCCACAGTTGATTTAACCTAAGATGGCTTCAAAACACTTCTAGTACTGATTTGAGAATATTAGATCATAATATCACTACCTTAAAGTGATCATAAGATCATAAGATCACTTTAAGGTAGTAGCACTATGAGATTAAAAAAAAAACCTATCGTAGTCATACTCTTTTGAAATGAAAATTTCAAATTATTTATTAAACACATAGATAGTGAACTAATTTGACTCAAAGAACGACTTACAGTTTTGGATTTTGTGAATTTGTCTTCACATTTGATTGCTTCCTCTGGAGAAACTCTTCTTTTTGACAAATCTATATATCCTGTACAAAAAAATTTTGAAAAAATTATCTCTGTCTAGGTGCCAACATACTACTGTAATTAGTTCTTAAGACCAAATTAAGTGTTCAACTGGCATACTTACAATTATTCCCTATTAAAATCCTGTCAACAGAACACTGCATAAGTAGTACAGGCTGAGTATTCCCCATCAGAAATGCTTGGGACCAGTAGTGTTTTGGATTTCAGATTTTAGAATATTTGCAATATTCCAAAAAATTTTGGAATATTTGCATTGTATTTACTAGTTAGAGCATCCCTAATCTGAAAAATCTTAAATGCTCCAATGAGCATTTCCTTTGAGCATCATGTTGATGCTCAAAAAGTCTAAGATTTTGGACCATTTTGGATTAGGGGATAAGGTATTCTCAATCTGTACAATGATGAGAAATTTTGAATTGTTTTCAGAAATAAATTTTTATCAGGTAATTATATATTCTTCATTACCTTATTGGTGAGAATAATTTTCAATTATCCAAATGAAAGCTAGTCAAATGCCTATCTTTCCTGTTTCTTCCTTTTCCTTCTGCAGAATAGGAATTCACTAAGATGTTCATTTTAAGGAAAGAGGCTATTCTCACAGAAGAGACACGTACACAGAGAACAAATTAAAACTATCTCATCTACCACGTGACTACCATATCCAAGCAACTATGTTAGGTGCTTAAACATCTCACTGAACCCTCACAACAATCCTGCATAGATTATCATCCTCTTTCTCACAGCCCTCCACTCTTTCTTTGTTTTAACGCGAAGAAAGTAAAACCCAAGAGAGGTTAACTAACTTGTCAACGTCAAATAGCCAAAAAATGGCTGAAAGCCACTAACCTGTGCCTGGCAATGACTTCTAGCACAATGCTGAGTAACAGTGATGAGAGTGAATGTCTTGTTCTCAATAACGGAGGACAGCATGTCTGTGGCTTTTTTCTAGACACTCTTTATCAGATTAGAAAATTCTGTTCTAGTTCTTATTTGCCGACATTTTATTATGAATGGGGGATAAATTTTGTCAAATGCTGTTTCACATCTATTAAAATGGTTACAGTTTTCCTCCTATACTCTGTTCACATACACTGAATTTATTTCACATTCTGAGCATTCTTTTTCATTAAAATGGTATGACTTGCATACACTAAAATTCACCACTTTCAGTATTAAATTCTTTGCGTTTTATAAAAAGAATACAGTCATTTAAACATCACCAAAATCAAGTTCTATCGCCCCGACGCCACTAAAAACTGGGTACAAGCTTTTTTGTGAACATACATTTTCCTAAAAATGGCACAGCTGGGTTATATATTAAGTATATGTTCATTTTAACTGCCAAACTGTTTCCCAAAATGAATGTGGCACTTTACATTCCCATGTGGAGCAGTTAGAACTGTTACCTAAGAAATCTTTGCCTGATCCAAGACCAAATATTTACTCCTATGTTTTCTTCTAGAGGTATTTCAAAGTTTAGATTTGACTTTTACATCTCTGATTCATTTTAACTTTTGTATAAGGTGGTGTCTGAATTGAGGTCCTTTTTTACATATGGATATCCAGTTGTCTCAGCACTATTTGCTAAAAAGATAATTTTTTTCTTTGATCAGCTGCCTTTGTACTTTTGTTAACTGATCATATAAACGCACACATTAATAAAAAAGAATTTTTTTTTTTAATAAAAAGAGGTGGGGGTCCTGCTATGTTGCCCAGGCTGGTCTTGAACTCCTGGGCTCAAGTGATCCTCCCACCTGGGCCTCCCAAAGCGCTGAGATTACAGGCATGAGCCACCATGCCCAGCCAACATAAAGTTATAACTGTTAAACCAAAATGGCATTCCATACACTCCACTTGGTCATGCTTTATTATCCTTTTTATACATTGTTGGATTTGAAAAACATATTTTATTATGAATTGTTTTACCTATGCTAATCACAAATTGGGTCAGTAATTTGTTTTAAAAAAACATGACTTTGTCGGGTTTTCTTATCAGGGTTATGATGGCCTCATAAAATTAGTCATGAACTGCGTAACATTTCAGTCAACAATGGACTGCATGTATAGCAGTAGTGCCGTAAGATTACAATACTGTGTAACACTGTATTTTTCAGATTATAATACTGTACACCTTACAATTCCACGGGCTCAAATGAGACAGTTAAATATATTTAAAGAAACTAAGAAGGGCAAAAATGTCTTTTATATTTACCTGGGTATTTTCCATTTCAGGTCATCACATCTCTTCAGCCTAAAGAACTAACTAATTTCACCGCCCCCGCCACCTTTTTTTGTTTTGGAGACAATGTCTGGTTCTACTGCCCAGGCTAGAGTGCAGTGGTGCGATCTCAGTTCACTGCAGCCTCCACCTCCTGGGCTCAAGCCTTTCTCCTACCTCAGCTTCCTGAGTAGCTAGGACTACTGTGAGCACCACCACATCCAGCTAATTTTTGTATTTTTTGTTAGAGACGAGGTTTTGCCATGTTGTCCCAGCTGGTTTTGAACTTGTGAGTTCAGGGAACGTGTCCACCTCAGCCTCCCAAAGTGTTGGGATTATAGGTGTGAGCCACCAGGCCGGGCCATGTCTTTAGTTTCTATTTATCTAGAAAGTCTTAATTTTGACCTTTATTGTTGAATATTACCTTTAGATGCATAATTCTGGTTTGAGTGCTTTAAAGATATCACTCAATGCTCTGGCCTCCATTATTTTCAGTATGAACACCATAGTAATTTGTATCACTGTTATTCTGCAGGTAGTATGTCTTTTTCCTTGGGCTATTTTCAATATTTTTCTTTACCTTTTTTCTTTAGTATTAACAGTTTGACATGCCTGGGTATGATCTTAATAGCATTTATCCTGCTTAAGAGCTGTGGAGCATCTTCAATTTGTAAATTTTTTTCCCCCCAACAAATAAGGGAAACTTTTAGCCATTATTTAATCAAATCTATTTTCTGTTCTCTCCTCTTTCTAGAATTTATATATATATATTTGAGACAGTCTTATTCTGTTGCCCAAGCTGAAATACAGAGGCGCCATCTTGGCTCACTGCAACCTCCGGCCTTCCAGGTGCAAGAAATTCTGCTGCCTCAGCCTCCCAAGTAGCTGGGATTACAGACACATGCCACCACGCCTAGCTAATTTTTGTATTTTTGATAGAGGCAGGGTTTTGCCATGTCAGCCAGGTTGGTCTTGAACTCCTGATCTCAGGTGTCTGCCTGCCTCGGCCTCCCAAAGTGCTGGGATTACAAGCATAAGCCACTGCACCCGGCCTTAGAATTTGTATTTAGTTGGGCCCTGCATAATGATATTTTAGTCAACACTGAACTCCATATACAATGGTGGTTCCATACGACTATAATGGAGTTGCAAAATTCCTATTGCCTAGTGATGTAGCACATTTAGGTTTTTTTTTTTTTTTTTTTTGAGACGGAGTTTCGCTCTTGTTACCCAGGCTGGAGTGCAATGGCGCGATCTCGGCTCACCGCAACCACCACCTCCTAGGTTCAGGCAATTCTCCTGCCTCAGCCTCCTGAGTAGCTGGGATTACAGGCACACGCCACCATGCCCAGCTAATTTTTTGTAGTTTTAGTAGAGACAGGGTTTCACCATGTTGACCAGGATGGTCTCGATCTCTTGACCTTGTGATCCACCCGCCTCGGCCTCCCAAAGTGCTGGGATTACAGGCGTGAGCCACCGTGCCAGGCCAGCACATTTAGTTTTTACGACTAGGCTGGAATGCAGTGTACGATCTTGGCTCAGTGCAACCTCTGCCTCCCAGGTTTGTATGATTCTCCTGCCTCAGTCTCCTGAATAGCTGACATTATAGGTGAGGTGTCACTACGCCCAGCTAATTTTTGTGTTTTCAGTAGAGATGAGGCTTCACCATGTTGGTCAGGCTGGTCTCAAACTCCTAATCTCGTCATCTGCTGGCCTCGGCCTCCCAAAGTGCTGGGATTATAGGCATGAGTCACTGCGCCCGGCCAACTGTAGAATGTTTCTAAAGTCTACAATAGTGTAATGTCCTAGTCCTTCACATCTACTCACCACTCACTGACTAACCCAGAACAACTTCCAATTCTGCAAGCTCTATTCATGGTACGTGCCCTATATAGGTACACCATTTTTTATCTTGTCTACTCTATTTTTACCATGCTCTTTCTGTTTAGGTACACAAATACCATTGTGTCAACTGTCAACAGTATTCAATACAGTAACAGGCTGTACAGGTTTGTAGCTTAGGAGTAATGGGCTATACCATATAGCCTAGGTGTGTAGTAGGCTATACATCTAGGTTTGTGTTAAGTATGCTCTATGAAGCTTACACAACAAAATTGCCTAATGATACATTATCTCAGAATGTATTCTTGTCATTAAAGGACACTTGACTATGGTTCTTTGTGAAAGTTTCTAAATTCTCTGAGATTTTACTTTGTTCGTTTCTTACAAGCATATTTCCCTAATGTGCTTGAGCAGTTATAATGTCTGCCTTAAAATCCATGTCTGGTAGTCCCAACACCTGGATCATCTCTGGGTAAGTCTCCACTGGTTACTTTTCTCTTCTGTATGGGTCATATTTTCCCATTTATTCGTATGGTTAGCAATTTTGCATTGCATCCTGGACCTGTGGCAAAGACTCTGGATTCCCATATGTTCCTCTTACAAAAACAGATTTTTTGTTTTAGAAGGTAGTCAATATCTGAACTTATAAGTTCTGTCTCCCTAGATGGTAAGTAACTGAAATCTGTTCAGATTTTTTTCCCTATTGGGCTACTTGGAGTTCATCCTGTGTATCAGTAGTTCAGGGATAAGCCAGAGATTTGGGCAGAATCTACATACAGACTTAGGGGTTCTCCCTTTGCCTCCTTTCTCTAATGCTCACCACAACCACCACCAGCTTCCATCTACTATGGTTATCTAGAACTCTCGCCTCCAATTCTAAAGCCAGTAAGACTGTTAAGTTTTCCGCTAGAACCTTAGCTGCCCAGCTTGAAGCTGTCTTTAGCATGTACTAAGCATAAAACAGAAAACATATCCTTTCTTCTAAGTGTTGACTCACCTTCAATTTTGGCCTGCTTTTGGCTGCTCCTCATTATCTTTAGGTAGTAGTTATTTTTCATGCTTGTTCAGGGTTTATAGCAGGTATGTCAAAAGGCTTGTCTAGTAGGATCTAATTCTCTAGTATCAAAATGAATCCTCTTTGTAGGCTCTTTTGCACTTTGCTTTTTTTCTTATCCTATCCTGGAGATCTTCCTAGATGAGAATATTCAGATCTCATTCTGCATAAAATTGCATTGCATGCATTTGTCCTGATTTATTTAACCAGTCCCTATTTTGGTCATTTCCTGGTTTTAGTTAATGCCATACAAACAAATGGAAGTATCTTTACATGTATCTACTATACATAAGGAAGTATGCCTTTCCATATTTTTTCTGATTGCAACTAAAAACATATTTGATTTCTCCTTTAGTATATATTTTATACAATAGAAAAAGAAGGCTGAGCACAGTTTTGGCCTGCTTTGCGAGGCTAATCTTGAACTGGATTGCTTGAGCAAGATTAGCCTGTCTCAACATAGAGAGACCACCCCCCCCTCCACAAAAAAGTTTTTTTTTTTTAAATTAGCTGGGCATGGTGGCACATGCCTGTAGTTCTAGCAATTTGGGAGGACTACTTGAGGAACACTTGAATCTAGGAGCTCAAAGCTGCAGCAACCTACGATCACAGCACTACACTGCGGCCTGGGTGACGGAGCAAGATCCCAACTCTTAAAAAAAAAAATAGGAAGTACAAGATTAGATAATATTTTAGGTACTACTAGGGCAGTGATGTGAAGACTTACATAAGTTTAACAAATAGTCTCAAAGTAGTAGTCACTACCTAAGGCATAAGACATCCTCAAAGTCTATGTATCATCTAAGGCTATAATCAAAAACATTTAAATGTCAGTATGTATAAAATTAATCACTTGTAGAAGTGAGAAAGCATCAGTAAACTAGATGGCTGAGGAGATTCAGAAGGATAAGTTCAATCAAGGTGACACTGAACTTTCAGGCATGGCCTGAAACTAATGGCCTAAAACTAATAACTAACAAATTACAGTAAGATGGCTGAAACTAAAACCCACTTAATGGTATTGCACACCATGTTTAAAAAAAACAGTATTCACTAAGGTGATGATTTACATGAGGCCCAGAAAAAGCATCCAGTAAGTAAAAAACGAATAGTTATCCAACACTGTCTGAAAGATACCACAGTATCTGGGAGACACAAACATTCTAATTACCAGTGAGATATACAATACTGGATTTCAGGTGTGCATGTACACACATAGTATACTGCTTTTTCAAAGCTTATGTAAAGATTCTAAAACCCATTTGCCCCATTTTCATGCTTACTCAATGATCTCACCACTATTTTAGCTTTAAATAAAGAAAAAGGCATCCAACATATTCAGGCCTACCAATGTAAATGAACTAGCACTCTGGTTTACTTATCTCTTTCATGTTTGGTTACTATGAGTCAATTACCAAGATCCTCATAAACACTAGAAATAAAATTCAAGTTATTTGATCCATAAAACCCTAGGATGTACTAATTAAACTACTAACTTAAGAGATCTTGCTTAAACAGCTAATTGGCATCCTTTTCTAACAACTTTGTATGTAAAAGAGTTTAAGCAGAAAACGAGTTTTTTTTTTTTAAGCTGCAACGTACAATTTACAAAAAATGTATTTTTAAATAAACCATTTTAAATCAGAAATTTACACTACAGATATTTTTCTCACTTACCTTTTTCTTTGTCCACCCTAATGACAACCACACACTCATTCCTGCCAATTCGGATGAGTTTGTTTATAGAACGGATACGCCTTCTGGATAATTCACTAAGAAGAATCATGCCTTCAATGTTGTTGTATTCCAGCAAGCTGACATAAGCACCCATTTCAGCAATGGATCTTACATTCACCATCACTACATCTTCCACCTCAGGAAATTTGTGTTGGTAAAATCTACAACTTAGACCCGGCATTCTGCAATTTAAACAAAAGAATTAAATAAGTGTTCAGTTAAGGTGAAAATTTAAGAAAAATCAACTTTCTACTTCCTGCCACTAAAAGAAAAGATGAAAAAAAAATATTAGTCTTCTCAACCCTTGAAACTTCTTAAGTGGTACCAGAAAACAGATGATGTTCAGGAACCAAGCTTTAATCTTTATTTCACTCAACGTTTTTGTAATGCTTCGGTGATTCTCTGCCATTAGGTTCAGAGGAATCATAAAAAATAATGACCATCTATAAAGTACTCCAAGACCTAAGGATTAAAGGAATAACTCAAGAGTAAAATACTACTTTAAGGTATATCAAATGATGGGAAGCATCACTATTATAACTAATCAGCAAAACGAAAGCTACTCTTTGCCCAAGTTAGCAAAGATTATATATGCTACCACTCACTATATAAAGGAAAGAATTTTCTACCCAAATCCTAACCAATATACCAAATGATATATTCTAGCATTTATTATAGCCAAGATTAGTGTCACATGTCAAAGCAACAAAAAAATTAAAAAATTTTAATCACAAACTAAAATGCATCCTCCTTTAACAATTTTTTCCTTTAATTCACAACGTCTAGCTTCTCCTATCCCCATTACTCACAAATATTCCTTACTTTTGTTGAATAGGTGTACCTAATCTTGAGAAAAGCTTTAATCTCCATTACCACAACGTTAAAGTTTCTCTTAATCTCTAAGCATTAAAGATATTTATAATTATTCCCTTTGATCCACCCAACCTACTTTCCGCACTTCTTTTTCCAAGATCCTCAAGCGTGAAATTGTAACATGGGTAGAAGCGTATTTTAAAAAGGAAGCTCTCAAATTAATCATGGCTGATGATTTTCATGTTTTTCTGTCAACCTTAACTGTTGTCAATGCTCAGAAGAAAGGTAGTAACAGAACTTAAAGGCCTAAGGAAAACTTGTGAAAACTCATTTAATAACTTATTAATTGGCACCTGCATGTATCTTCCCAGTAGCTTCCTACTGACTTTTGTACGTTTTCACTACCTACAGAATCCTACATGAACTGGCCACTGCCTATCTCCTTGTGGTACAACTCTTCCCCTAGTTTTCCCATTTTATAGACTAAAAAAGGGAAGCACAGGTTAAGTTGCTTGTTCTTTCACATACTGCTAACAGGTGGTGAGTCAGGATTTGAATCCATGAAGTTTAGATCCAGTCTGTGCTCTTATAAATCAGACTGTATTCTCTCAAAACTATTCATAAATATGATTAGAAACATTTTACTTAAAAAGGAGCAACATATATATTCAGTGCTAGAGCACACACCACCAGTAAGTGCAAACTATTAGTACTCATCTGTTTGCCAACAAAAAGCAGCATATTAATCACAGTAGCAGAGATGTATTTCTTTGTAGAGAATACAAAATCCCTACAAAACAGGGATTTAGCAAATAAAAAGAAGTAGACATTCAATGGCCAGAATTAACTGCCAAGAAACAGCTGACTGGTTGTTTCATTTTTAAACAGGGCTTTTCGGTGGTGGGGGTGGGGATGGTGGGGAACCTGTTGTTGAGTATGTGTATGTAAAGTTCTCAAATTTGAGAGCTAAAAAAAGTTTCAAATCGGGCATCAAAATAAACTATGTTACAGAAATGTGTGGAACAGTTTTAAGACATTTAACAGATGAAAACCACATTTACTTACCAAGTTTCTCCAAATAGTAAAGTTGATGCTTTTGGGGGAAGCAAAGCTTAATTTGATGGTTAAAGAACATAGGTAAGCCAGGTATGGTGGCTCAGGCCTGTAATCCCAGCACTTTGGGAAGCTGAGGTGGGAGGATCACCTCAGGTCAGGAGTTCAAGACCAGCCTGGCCAACATGGAGAAACCCGTCTCTACTAAAAATACAAAATTAGCTGGGTGTGGTGGTACATGCCTGTAATCCCAGCTACTCGGGAGGCTAAAGCAGAACAATCACTTGAACCTGAGAAACAGGTTGCAGTGAGCCAAGGTCAGGCCACTGCACTCCAGCCTGAGGCAATCATGTAAAAGAATCCTGAAGGGATATAACTATGAATACTGTTTCTTCAGGAGGCCCAAGTCTCTTTGCAACATAAAGGGTAAGTAAAGGAATACTGTTGATAGTATGTTATTCATAGTAAAGACACCAAGTAGTTGAGTAAGTACAAAAATAATCCGTACAATGAAAACCACATATTGGTTGATAAATTTTGAACATATTGCCCAATGAAATGCTAAGAACTTTAACTTAAAAAAATTTTTTTTGACTTAAAAAAATCATTCAGGAATATCAAAGTCACACTAGGTATGTATTCAGCTGCATCTTTTTCATAGCATTCTGACTTATTTTATTTGGTCCTCAAGAAGTGCCAAGTCATGCAATTAACACAGTAAACTCGGGGAACAGTTCTAGACTTGGGTTCCAGTCCTTGCTCTGGTACTTACTAGAAGTGGCTGCTTGGGAAAGGTAACCTCCTTTGAACCGTAGTTTCTTATCTGTGCTATGCACATCACAGGTTTACTGAGGGTATGACATGTATATGTAAAAACATTTTGAAAACCATAATGTGCTAGTCAAACAAAAAATATTAAAAGGCAAAGGAGGCATTGTTTTTCATTTTGTAATATAATTTGTTAATTTTTTTTATTTTTCAGTATCTATTACACACTAAACACTAATGATACAACAAGAAAGACTCTTACCAGGCATGGCATGGTGGCTCACACCTGTAATCCCAGCACTTTGGGAGGCCCAGGTGGGTGGATCACTTGAGGCCAGGAGTTCCAGACCAGCCTGGTCAACATGGTGAAACCCCATTTCTACTAAAAATACAAAAATTAGCCGGGTGTGGTGGTGGGCACCTGTAATCCCACTACTTGGTTGCTGAGGCAGGAGAATCCCTCGAACCCAGAGGCGGAGACTGCAGTGAGCTGAGATCGTGCCACTGCACTCCAGCATGGGCAACAGAGACTCTGTCTCTATGAAAGAGAGAAAAAAAGACTCTTATCTAAGTAATTAAAGGCAGAGTGGGAAACAAACTAGCAAACAAATAATTACAATATAAAGTACTATGAAAGGAGCACAGTGAAGCAATGAACAGGAAAAGGAGGAACATAAACACTAAATTATAATACTTCCTTAAGGACAAATGCTTAACAAGCACTAGAGCAGGAGCTCAAGAATGTCGTTAACCTCAATATCACAGCACACTATAATACTCTTATGTGTTCTGATGTAAAAAGTATCAGCCACCTTTCAAAATACATCAACCAAACTCCAGGTTAATTTCAAATACCCTGCATCGTCAGTTATTTTGCAGGACAAATAGTAGGTAGGACTTCTCACTGCATGGTCAAATTGCCATAATGGATATAGAAGTTCACATTCCTTTCCAAAATATGTGATGGGGACAACTCTAGTGATAATTCTAATTTGGATCAAACACGGATTAGGAATGCTCTCTGAATGTTAGTTCTTGGTATAGGAGTGCTACATAAATAAAGCTTTTATTTCATCATTATAGTTGAAAAAGAAAATATCACCAAGTCTATACAAACATTACTGTGCATGAGACAACTACATCTTTTGAGAATTGCTGTCATTTGGCACCAGATGAACTGAGAATAGGCAGCAAAGTTCTGCCTATTCTCACTAAAGTCATCCCCAAACTATTGACACAGAGAAGAATTTTCCTTGACTAACAACTCAATTGACAGAAAATAAATATTTCTGTGCTATACCTTTTTTCCAAGAAATCATGTGTTTTGCTTAATAAAAATTAAAATAGCCTTAGTTTTAAGGATAAAGAGATCTCAGGATGACTGCATTTAATCCGAAAATATTTGCTTATCTTAGACTTTTAGTTATGCTTAACTAACATAGTTAACCCAGCCTATGCTTAACCCAGTTCTATTCTCACTGTCGCCAAAAATCGACAAACTGATAGTAACAGTAATAAACCCAATAGTCTCATTTAATTTTGATTCAAGGGGTGACTCATTGAATTTATCAGATGAAAAACTACTCGGACCCAGCTCTTTCCAACACGGTGCCCATCCCACAGGTTTCTCAGGTTAGAGTCCGACTTGGTTTCCACCGGGAAGCAGGGGAAATTTTGGTAGAACTGTTGGGGCAGAAGAAAAGATGGAATTCTCTGGCCCGGAAAAAGCAAAGTGCTCAGCGTCCTGAGCTGGGGGTAAAAGTTAGGGTGTCACAGAGTTCTCCCGAGGCCGCCCCATCATCACGGCATTCTCACTTTCGGCATATTGTAGAGGCTGTATAATCCACTCGGCCCACTTTCCTTCACGAGATTCCTCTCCTCCAACAACGATGCCTCTGGAACACAGGATGACCGACACGGAGCCGGCGAGGAGGCCCACGACAGCGCGGGTGGCAGCGGTGCTGTCCAGCCACTTCCCGCGCAGGGACGGGAAAGGGAGGTGTTAGCCCGGGGCCTACCCGCTCTCGAACACCCATGTCACTGGACACAAACCAAAGTGAGTTCTTGGAGAAACCGAGCTTGGGATTAGTCACCTGAGGTATGTGTGTGTTTCCCGCACGGGAACCCAGCGCCGCCTCCTTCAATCAGAAAAGACCAGGCTTGCTGCTCCCGCACCGGCTGCCGATCCTCAGCGTGCGCTTCGCTCACCCACACTGCGCATGCGAACTCTCCTTGCACTGCGCAAGCGCTAAACGAATAGAGGCCCTCTTCATCATTAACCATAGAGTCTGGGTCCTCCGAGAACGAGGACGAATATAGATCGTGGTAGGACCTGAAAAGTACGGTTTCTCGCTATCTTAGCTTTAGCTAAGTAACATTCAAGGCTCAAGAAAGACATAGGACTCTGATTCCTTGCCTCTGAAGAATGCATCCTTGCTCAAAGTTTTAGCTAACCATGAGATGGCGCTGTGACCATAGACGAAAGGTGGAGAAAGACAAGACGTGGACGCTTAGCTCCTAGTCTTAGGTCTGGCGCGTGCCGCGTATTGCGCAGCCGCAGGGAAGTTGGAGGGTGAGGAATTGGGAGGCGAACCGGAATTGAGGGGTGGTTCCGCGGTGCTCGCGCCTCGACATCCGGGCAACGCCTCTGTTCTGTCTTCCCCCTCCCCCGATTGTGACAACCGGAAGCGGAAGTGAAAATGGGTGTCCCGGCTGCCTCTTAGCAACGAGAGGGGTCACGTGACACAACCAGCCGACTCCTATAGGAAGTCACTGTGGAGGCCAATTCTGAAGCTGTTGCAGCATCAGTTGCCCGGCCGGGGGCCCGAGCCGAACAGTCATCAGAATGTCGGGCAAAGACCGAATTGAAATCTTTCCCTCGCGAATGTAAGTGAAGGAATGGGATGAGCCGCTCTCACAGGTTTAGGAACCCGGAGCGCTGTTCCTCCATACCCTGGGCCACCAGTGAGGGTCCTTGTTTCCTGGGCCTATCCTGAGCGTTTCCCAGGCTCTTTTCGTGATTCTGGGACGAGGCTTCCTGACGGCCTCTTCACGCATTCCTCCTGAGTGAATCAGGCTTGACGGAGCGATCCCGGCCGGCGGGCTTTTGTGGAGGTCCGCTGTCTTTATTCATTAATGGGTTCATCCATTCCACATACCTTTATTGCGCCGGGCAGTGGATTTATATAACCGAACCGTCGCCACCTCTGCCCTCACAGTTTAGGAGCCAGACATTCGTCTGCAAAGGCCCAGGAGATTTAATAATTGCTCTGAGAAGGGAAGTTTACTGACGATATAAAAGTGGGGATGGAATCGAATCGGCCTAGCATAGGCTTCGGATTAGATCTTCCATCCCCTTACTCATTTTTCAAGATCCCGCCAAATGTCACCTGCTGTGAGAGAATATCCCTGTGTTTCTGAGGAACTGCTTTTGCTGTCACCGCTGCCCCTTGTTCAGACCTGTGTTAATACTATTCATCACATTGTAAGGTAGACATTTGTTTATGTATCTTTCTTCCAACTAGACTGTGGGCTCTCTCCAGGTTGAAAGAATGTCTTATCAGTCCCTAGAAGGTCCACAAAAAATATTTCTTGAAAGAACCCATGCTTGGGAATACGCTCATTGCGGGTTGCCTTTCTTTTGAGGCCTGAATTATTTGTCAGGTAAATAGCGTATCACTACTGTAGGTGTTTGGCTAGTTTGTAAAGAAAATTTTGACGTTTTCTCAAATGTGCCTTATAACTTGCTCCCTTTCTCCTCTTCATCCTGTTTATTTATTTATTTTGAAATAAGAGACAGGGTCTCGTTCTGTCTTCCAGGCTGGAGTGCAGTGGCGTTTATGGAACAGTCTTACAATTGTGAATATGTAGCTCTTCCAACTCAGAAGTGTTCCTTCAAGTACCTTAGGGCCATTTCTTTGAAATGTTATCAGGAGGGTTGGGGCCTTTGTCTTCCAGTCTGTGCAGGAGGTTAGAATCCTAACTTACTAATTGCCAGGTAAACATTGTGTTTACACCGACCAACCCTTTGTAAATTTTCTCTTCTCTGACACTACCTGTGGCCGGCTCCCTGCCACTCCCTTACTCTCTTTTTAAAATGGCCAGTCGCCTCTGCACAAACCAGAATTGAACTCAGCTCTTTACCCTACTGTCAGTGGTTTACTGAATAAAATCTGTTCTCACTGCTTTAACCAATGTCTGGCTGTGTTTATCTTTGACAGCAGTCAGAATGGTAACTTTTTTGTTTTTACTTTGGAGCTTTTACTTTGAGACTAAGAGGCAAAAATAGACATCTTTGGGCTTAGAAAATAAAAATCGTAGGCTCATGAAGGTGAAAACTGCTATTTGAAAGCACTCAGCTTGTTGAATGAGAGGAAAATCAGGTGCAGGAAATAATCTCTAACTATTTTCCCCATGCCTGGCAGCAGGCTTTTTGTCATGTAGTCAGATGTCTTTGATTCAGCTGGAAGAAAAGTCATCATCCTAGCTAAAGGTCAAACTTTTTGAGTAGGGCTGAGCAGCTCTGAAACATGTAAAGGAACAGGTTTTAAAAGCCCTAGGCTAGAAAATACACTGGCAGCTTGTTTCACAGACAGTTCCATTCAACAGTATTATTCTGTGGTATGTTACTTTTACCCACTTTCGTACCAGAGAAAGCAAGAGAATTTTTAGAGTGGAAGCAAAAGACGCATGAAAGAATTGGAGTCAACAGAAGTTCGTTAAATCCAGGTTCTACATATTAGTGTTCAGTGTGCAAGTTACTCTTAGAGTTTCAGGAATTATAATTGCCCACTTCACAGAGATGCCATTCCCTGGGAGGAAATTAAAATTAACATGGTAAATTCAGTTTTATTAACCAGTTAACCTTTATACTATAAACCGGCTGGAATATGCAGTATTACAATTTGATTTAAATTTGATCCAGCTCTTTGAACCCAAGTTCTGGTATTTAGTGTCAACAATACAGTATGTTAAATCCACACATTGGGCTGGATAAGTCCTGCTCAGGCTGGAAACTAAACCAGCTTCACTTGATAAGAGCTCTTGTGAGGCCAATCAGTGCAAAGTCAGCCAGTGATAATTATTGTCTTTAAGGGAAGCCACATGGTTGTGGTACATTGAACCTAGGTGGGAGCCTTCGTTTGAGAATTGGGAAAGTCACTGGAATCAAAAGTCTGGTTCAGGTTCCTGTGCTGCCTTTTAGTCAGTGAGTAACTTTGAGAAAGTTGTTTTACTTTTCTAAGCCTCATTTTTCTAATCTTTAAGTTAATGCCTAAAGTCCCTTTCAGCTTTAGAATTGTCTTAGTTATCTTAGCCTTATGGTAAAACATTCCAGTATAATCTAAGAATTTGGCCAAATGGTGTTTTTGTTGTTGTTGGTTTGTTTTTGTTTTTGTTTGAGACAGGGTCTCACTCTGTCACCCAGACTGGAGTGCAGTGACCCAATCTTGACTCACTGCAACCTCCGCCTGCCAGGTTCAAGTGACTTTTGTACCTCAGACTCCCGAGGAGCTGGGACGACAGGCGTGTGCCACCACACTTGGCTAATTTTTGTATTTTTTGGTGGAGACAGGTTTTACTGTGTTGGCCAGGTTGGTCTCAAACTCCTGACTTCAAGTTATCCTACCTGCCTTGGCCTCCCAAAGTGTTGGTATTACAAGCATGAGCCACTGCACCTGGCCGAAAAAGGTTTATTAGTACATGTGATTTTATAACACCAGGCATATGAAATTATATCCCCTTAAATCACTGTGTCTAGGTTATGCTGTTTCTAGGTTATACAATCTATTGTTGAATTTTATTACCCAAATAGTTTTTTTTTTATACCAAGCCTTGGTTTGTGGTCCAGGCTGCATTGCAGTGGCATGATCACAGTTTACTGCAGCCTTGACCTCTTGGCTCAATCAGTCTTCTCATCTCAGCCTTCTATGTAGCTGGGACTACAGGTGCACCCTACCATGCCCAGCTAATTATTTTTTATTTTTTTATTTTTTTAGACATAGGGTTTCACCATGTTGCCCAGGCTGGTCTTGAACTCCTGGACTCAAGCAATCTACCCACCTCAGCCTCTCAAAGTGCTGATTACAGGCATAGGCCACTGTATCCAGCACACTTTTTCATTATTAAATTTTACATGGCATATGGCAGTGAGAACAGAAATGCCAGTTTCTGCTTGATTTGGTATTGGGGCTTTTGATGGGGAAAAAATGGAAATAAGGAAGTGAGGAGAAATAAGGAAGTGTAAGTTTAGCGTGTCACTTCTCAGGAATCTTATGCATGTCTTTTGTTACCTAGAGTCTTTTGCAAATGAATCAAATGATTGGTGTTAGGGTCTTGATTGATGATATCAAAATATGTGAATATCACACTATTAATAGAAAATGTGATAAATTATTGTGGTATAAAATGCAAAAGATATGAAAGAATATAGTAGTAAAAAGTAAATCCATATTTTTCATCCAGTCCCATTTATCAAAGGAAATTCTTGTCAGTTTTTGTGAATCCTTTCTCGAACTACTCTCTGCGTCTATATAAGCACATTTATTCCTTACTTTCTTTCCATAAGTAAGACTGTGTAATATAGACAGTACAGGCGGATATACCTTCGTCTTTTTTAATGACTGCATATCATTCCATCGTAGGTGAACTATGATGTATTTAGCATTTAGCTTGTTTCTCTCTTTTGCTATTACCATAAGGCTGGAGTACACATCTTGTTAACCTTGCACATGTTTTTGTACACATGTGGGAATAAATCTATAGGATAAATTCCTCAAAGTGGAATTGTTGGTCCTGAAAATAATTGCATTTAAACTTTTGATATATATTAGTGCATAGAGTTTTAAATCCTCAGTATACCTCCAATGAAAACTAAAGCATAGATATTATTTTGACTTACAAATCAAATAAGTATTTAAACTATGTTAGCTTCATAAAATAAGGCTCCTCTAAATATTTATTATGACTTAATAAATATTCCAGGTATTAAGTATAAAATTGTTTCTATTGTAAATTAATAAACTTTTCATTTATGGAACACTGATGGTAGAAATCCACAGTATTGAGAAACCAGTTGTCTTAGTCCATTTTCTGCTACTATAACAATACTTCAGATTGGGTAATTTATAAAGAAAAGAAATTTATTTGGTTCATGGTTCTGGAGGCTGAGAAGGATGAGGGCCTTCTTGCTATGTCATCCCATGGCAGAAGGCAGGCAGGTGAAAGAGAAAGCAAGAAATGGTTGAACATGCTTTTTTTTTTTTCCTAAAGTGACAGGGTGGCAGTGGTTCATGCCCATAATCCCAGCACTTTGGGAAGCTGAGGCTGGAGGATTGCTTGAGATCAGGAGTTGGAGGCCACAGTGAGCTATGATCATACCACTGCAATCCAGTCTGGGTGACAGAGCAAGACCCTGTCTCAAAAATAAAAAAGGAGTCAGGCTGGGCGTGGTGGTTCACGCCTATAATCCCAGTACTTTGGGAGGTTGAGGTGGGTGTATCACTTGAGGTCAGGAGTTTGAGACTAGCCTGGCCAATATGGTGAAACCCTGTCTCTACTAAAAATACAAAAAAATTAGCTGAGCTTAGTGGCATACACGTGTAATCCCCGCTACTTAGGAGGCTGGGGCAGGAGAATCGATTGAACCTGGGAGGTGGAGGTTGCAGCAGTGAGTCGAGATCTCGCCATTACACTCCAACCTGGGCCTCACAGCAAGGCTCTATCTCAACAACAACAAAAAAAAAAAAAAAAAAAAAAAGAGGAGTCTCACTACCATCTTGCCCATGGTGGACTTGAGCTCCTGGGCTCACGGGCTCAAGGGATCCTCTCACTTAAACCTGTAGCTGAGACTACAGGTGTGCCCAGCTGAACTCACATTTATAACCAACTCACCCCTGCAATAAAGAACCCAATCTTACCATAATGATATTAATCCATTCATGGGGAGGGCAGGTCCCATTTAACCCAATGATCTTTTAATGGTCCCACCTCTCAGCATTGTTGCACTGGAGATTGTTTCCAACACATCAAGATTGGGGGACATATTCAAACCATAGCATCAGTTAAACCCATTGGCTACAAATTCTCTATACATTCTCACTCTCATTACATCAAAGAATAAAGGATAATTTTAACACTGGTGGGGAGGTCTTTTTGTCTTTTAAGCAATGGAAATAAATGTCTTTAACTTTGTTTATGCTTATATAGGGCACAGACAATCATGAAGGCTCGTTTAAAGGGAGCGCAGACAGGTCGAAACCTCCTGAAGAAAAAATCTGATGCCTTAACTCTTCGATTTCGACAGATCCTAAAGAAAATAATAGAGGTAGACTGAACTTTTCTTACACTAGTATTTATTTTAGGAAAATCTACCATGGCCCTTGGCATTTTTTTGCTAACTTATTTTAGTTAATTTTCTTTCAAAAGTAAAAATACTATTATAAGTTTAACAAGTATCAAATATCAAATAGTTCATTTAGTAAAGTCCAAACTCTTTAATCTTGCCTGCAAAGCTCTACTTGATCTGATTGGCTCCCTGCCTGCCTCTCTTACCTCATTTGAGCATTCTTCCTAAGGTCCTCCAGGTACTTTTCATTAGCTCTTTTTCCTGCCCGAAATACGCTGTCCCCAGAACTTACTGGCTCCTTTGGTATTCCAGTCTCTTAAAAGAGGCTATTCCTGATCCCCCAATGTAAAGTGAACACATTTGCTTCTCTCACAATTCCTTATTTTAATTTTATCACAGTGTATACTATGCATGACATGACATTTTCTTTCTTTTTTCTTTTTTGAGACAGGGTCTTACTCTACAGCCTCAAACTGGGCTCAGGTGATCCTCCCACCTCAGCCTCTTGAGTAGCTGGGACTACAGGTGCATGCTACCACGCTCAGCTCATTTTTTAAATTTTTAGTAGAGACGAGGTCTCACTATGTTGCCCAGGTTAGTCTTTTTGACTCCTGGGCTCAAACAGTCTTTACATCTTGGTCTGCCAAAGTGCTGGGTTTACAGTTTTTGTGTTTTATTTTTAATCCTGTATGTACTTAACAAAAGCATTTTCTATGAGTGCTATTTTTATTTTTTATTTTTTGTAGAGATGGGATCTTGCTTTATTGCCCAGGGTGGTCTCAAAAACCTGGGCTCAAGTGGTCCTCCCACCTCACCCTCCCAAAGCACTGGGATTACAGGTGTTAGTCACCATGCCTGGCCCTGTACTACTTTTGATTATTTGTGAAGTTGGGAGCTTTTCATGCTTATTGGCAATTTGATTTTCTTGGTAAATGTCTATTTTTTTTTTTTAGAGGTACTATGTGTATTCTGCCTAATGTGTAAAATGATAAAAAGATTTTCTAACTTTTAACTTAAAAAAAAAAGTTAATACTAGGTGTGGTGGCTCATACCAACACTTTGGGAGACTGAGGTGGGAGGATGGTTTGAGCCCAGGAGTTTGACACCAGCCGGGGCAACATAGTGAGACCTTGTCTCTACAAAAAAAATAAAATAAGAAAATTAGCTGACCTTGGTGGCATGCACCTGTAGTCTCAGCTATTTGGAAGGCTGAGGCAGGAGGATTGCCTGCCTAGCAGTTTGAAGATGCAGTGAGCTGTGATTACACCACTGCACTCTAGCCCAGGCAACAAAGTGAGACCTTGTCTCAAAAAATAGAAAGAAAAAAGTTAAAAGTTTTTTTCCCTTGATCAAATCTGTTAGTCCTTTTCTTTAAATAGCTTCTGAGTTTCATATAAGACTTAGAAAATACCTAAAATGATTAGGAAAATATGCTACCACATTTTCTTTTATTACTTTATAGTTTTTCCTTTAAACCTTTATCTTAATTATGTCTGAATTTTGGGGGGGTATGATAAGAGGTAGGTAGCGTTATCATTTTATAAATGTATAGACATCAGTGGTCTCTGCTAAATTTCCATAGAGACCTGGGGTTTGTTTCTGAACCCTCTAGACTATTTCATTGACTTAACTGTCCCATACCAGTTGTATTAATATTTCCTTATTTTGGCTGTACCTTTTTAATACCTGGGAAACCAACTCCCTGCACAGCTGACCCAATTTTTCTTCTTTCTAAAACATTATTGAATATTCTCAAAAATTAAATATTTCAGAGGTACTTTAAAATTAATACACCATTAGGGTTTTGACTGCAACTGCAGTGAATTTAAGAGATTAGTTTGAGTAAATCAGCATGTACTTAGTCAAGGAATAAGATAGGTCCTTTAGTAAAGATTCGGTTTTCTGTTTTTGTTTTTTTGTTTTTTTTTTTTGAGACTGAGTCTCGCCCTGTTGCCCAGGCTGGACTGGAGTGCAATGGCACAATCTCAGCTCACTGCAACCTCCGCCTCTTGGGTTCAAGTGATTCTCCAGCCTCAACCTCCCAAGTAGCTGGGATTACAGGCACCCCTCCACCATGACCAGCTCATTTTTATATTTTTAGTAGAGACGGGATTTCACCATGTTGGCCAGGCTGGTCTTGAACGCCTGACCTTGTGATCTACCTGCCTCGGCCTCCCAAAACCCTGGGATTACAGGTGTGAGCCGCCGCACCTGGCCAGTTTTCTGTTTCTTAATGCGTTTATTCTGTTTTCATTATAAAATTGAATTATAAAACTCACATAGGTTTGTAATATTGTTAGTGATCATAACCAAAACTGTTAAAAATTGGAAATTTCTATTTGTTTTATCATTATCAAACCAATATTTACATGCACAGCCAGCATAAAATACTGATGGTTATTAAAGAGACATTATTATAATAGGATTTTTCCTTGTAGAAGGCTTGGTTGAATCTGCTTTTTGTTTATGCTTTTCCAGACTAAAATGTTGATGGGTGAAGTGATGAGAGAAGCTGCCTTTTCACTAGCTGAAGCCAAGTTCACAGCAGGGGACTTCAGGTAAGGAGACTAAATGGGGTGTTTTCAAACAAAGCAAAGTGATTTCACGTTCATAATTTCATTTAAAAAGCATTTTTTAATATAGAAATAAGCATTAAGGACAAATGATACAGTAATAATAAGGAAGAATGCTTTTAACCCCATAACCATAACTCCACTGTCATCCTCCACATGCATTCTTACATAGTTGCAGGCACAGGGTACTTTAGAGTCCATTTTCATTTAACATTGTATCATAAACATTTTTCCTGATTTTCAACATAGCTGTGTGATTTTCTCAAGATGTATTTTTTTTTTTTTTCCTAATGCTGGATATTTGGGTTAATTGTCAGGTTTTTGTAATACTGGAGAAAGTGCATTGAACATCTTTACACATATGTATTTTTGTTTCTACTGAATTACTTCCGTAGGATAAATTTTTGAGAGTTGAATAATTTAAAAGGCATGAACTCATGAACTTCATTGCTTTGGTGACATCAGTAAATCCCTTACAAAGCATACAAAATGGCTTGTAAATGCCAATTTACGTATGTTATGTACTTCTCCAAATAACACTATGAGATAGGTAAGGCAAGCATTGTTTTTCTCAGTTTTAATTGAATGCCTTCCTGAGGTCACTTGGCTAATTAGGGACAGTGGTGGAAGTTGTTTTCAAAGATTCTGATTTTAGTCTTTTCCTAATGACACGATGACTATCATCCAGGAGGTTTCACTGTTTTGGGGTCTTCATAAGGCCCTTTGAAGTGATAGGCTTTAATTTTTGCCAGTGCTGGTAAGATAATACCTTGCATTGAATTTTCTAACTGATGGAGAACATCAATAGTGTGTAAATGGTATGTGAGTATTTAGGATAGTTATGGGGAAGACACTTCTATAATATTTATTTTTGTTTTGTTTTGAGACTGGGTTATGAGACTGGCTAATTTTTGTAGTTTTGGGTTTCGCCACCTTGCCCAGGCTGGCCTTGAACTCCTGGTCTCAAACAATCCTGCCTTGGTCTCCCAAAGTGCTGGGATTATAGGCATGAGCTATCACACCCGGCCAGGAAGGCACTTAATATTTGAGAAGTCACACAGAGCCATATGGAAGATAGGTTCCAGGGTAAAGGAATTGAATGCCAGCTTAAACCAATTCAACAGCAAACCTAGAAAGACGTTTTCGCCATCTTATACCAGCAAAAGAAGAACCCTTAAAGTTATATCCATGTGTACCACACCTCTGACTGAAAACATAAGCAATCCACAAACTTTAAAATCATTCTTGGTTGTTTTCTTACTGCTAGTGTTTTGAATGTTGTTCATTCTCTGCTTTCAGAGGCCCTCCTCTGGCAGTAATGATTTTTCTTCTTTTCTGGAGAAAGGACAGTTATCAAAACATACTTAGTTGTGACACCTTACTCTTGGTCTCATTTAATGTTAAAACTATCCAGTGGGTCTGTAGGTTTATTTCTAAAGAGTCTGCTAAATAAAGGCTTTCTCTTTTTCTGCAGTACTACAGTTATCCAAAATGTAAATAAAGCCCAAGTGAAGATTCGAGCGAAGAAAGATAATGTAGCAGGTAACTTTTCAACCTTTTAGAAACCCTTTGGGGAGAAAAGAGGTGACATTTTAAAATTAACCTGTTTGTACAGCAAGATCTTAACATCCTAGTTTCTTCATTCTGCTTAGAACAAGTTGATTGGCTTTACAGGTTAAAATCATTAACAATCAGGTTTCTTATTACTCAGGATAATTTGACTTTTGAATAGAAATGAACACTTAAGAAGGCAGGTTTCACTGGGCATGGTGGCTCACACCTGTACTCCCAGCACTTTGGGAGGCTGAGACCAGTGGATCACTTGAGGTTGGGAGTTTGAGACCAGCTTGGCCAATATGGTGAAATTCGATCTCTACCCAAAATACAAAAATTAGGCAGGGTGTGGTGGCTTATGCCTGTAATCCCAGCACTTTGGGAGGCCAAGGCAGGCGGATCACCTGAGGTCAGGAGTTTGAGACCAGCCTGACCAACATGGAGAAACCCGGTCTCTACTAAAAATACAAAATTAGCTTGGTGACACATGCCTGTAATCCCAGCTACTTAGGAGGCTGAGGCCGGAGAATTGCTTGAACCTGGGAGGTTGCAGTGAGCTGAGATTGCGCCGTTGCACTCCAGCCTGGGCAACAAGAGCAAAACTCCATCTCAAAAAATACATAAATAAAAAATTAGCTGGGGGTGGTGTGTGTCTGTAGTCCCAGCTACTCAGGAGGCTAAGATGGGAGAATCACTTGACCGTAGGAGGCGGTGGTTGCAATGAGCTGAAGACCGCACCACTGCACTGCAGCCTGGGTGGCAGAATGAGACTGTGTCTCAAAAAAAGAAGGCAGGTTCCTAAATTCATTAACTGAAACCGATTACAATTTCAGACTTCACCTCTTGATTTTTGAGTTCAATGAAAAAGAAACACAGAAAACTGTGATTAAGAAACAGAACTTAAAGGTTTATGAATCCATATATGCTTCTATGTTTATAGGTGTTACTTTGCCAGTATTTGAACATTACCATGAAGGAACTGACAGTAAGTATGAAACTTTTTATATTACTTTGTATCTCTGGGATTTCCTATTTCCTCTTTAAATGAACTAAGTTCTGGAAAATGGTGCTAGATGATGAGAGGTTCCTGAGTTAGAAATCCTCTTCTCTAATATAGTCAGGACAGTAGTTGATCAGTTAATCAAAAGGTCTTATGGTTGGGCATAGTGGCTCATGCCTCTTGGCACTTTTGTGAGGCTGAGGCAGGGAAATCACTTGAGTTCCGGAGTTTGAGACCAGCCTGAGCAACATGGTAAAACCCCATATTTACAAAAAATATAAAAAATCACCCGGGTGTGGTGGCACATGACTGTAGTTTCAGCTGCTTGTGGGGCTGAGGCGGGAGGATTGCTCCAGCTGGGGAGGTAGTTGCAGTGAGTTCTGATCATGCCACTGCACTCCAGCCTGGGTGACAGAGCAAAACCTTGTCTCAAAAAAAAAACAAAAACAAAGAAAACAAAAAACGGTTTTATGCTAGGAAGTCATAAAACCTTATACATATCTTAAAATATTTCAATATTTTATCAGAAATATATCAGTGTAGAATCATTTGCTATTTAAAAAATATAAGGCCTTTTGAGTATGAATTCACTGATGAGACTTCTGTGTTGTCTTTCTGCATATACTACACCTACAATGCACTGCTTATAATTCCTAATTTAGGTCTCTTTAAAGTCAAATAAGATCTTAGACACTATGATGCAACCTGAATGCTGAAACTTTCCAGATTTTTATGGCCCGCTCCCACTTTTTAAATAATTGTCTTATTAATTCCATTCCTAATTTGACAGCATATTTTCTTTTCAAAATGAAGTATTAACTTTTTTCATAGAAACAATATTCTTGGCCGGGCACAGTGGCTCACATCTGTAATCCCAGCACTTTGGGATCCCAGCCTCTTTTGGGAGACTGAGGTGGGCTAATCGCCTTAGCCTAGGAGTTTGCGACCAGCCTGTGCAACATGATGAAACCCTATATCTACCCAAAAAGTTATGCTGAGGTAGGATGATTGTTTGAGCCTAAGAAGTGGAGCTTACAGTGAGCTGAGATTGCACCACTGCACTCCAGCCTGGGTGGCGGAGTGAGAGCTCCATCTCAAAAAGAAAGAAACAATATTCTTTCTTTTGGCACTCATATTTCCTTGTTTCATGTAATATTTAATTAAATCATGTAGAATATTAAGTACATTTCATATGAAGAAGTAGAGCATTCTGGAGAGTCACCTGATAACAGAATGTCATTGTACTCTGGGCATCAGGCAATACGTTCTTCAAAGGGAATAAGGGACATCAAGCTAGTGAAGTGAAGGTTGGTTAAAAGCCTCTCTTCTAGTTGTATTTAGAATAGTATCCTTGTGGAAAACTGTATTTAGTAGCATGCTGCTACAGTGTTTGGGGAGTAAGATAGGCAGTTCATGTTTACATTTAATGAAGATTAGTGAGTTTATCTTTCCATATTTGTTGTTATTCTGAATTGTCTCCTTTTGGGGAGTTTTATAGGGAAGATTATGTACTCTCTAATTACAAATGTTGTCTGACTGGTTCTTCCAGGTTATGAACTGACTGGTTTAGCCAGAGGTGGGGAACAGTTGGCTAAATTAAAGAGGAATTATGCCAAAGCAGTGGAACTACTGGTGGAACTAGCTTCGCTGCAGGTAAGTAGCAAAAGACCTGGAGAACTCCTGTAGTTTGATTTCTCACAGTTGAGTGGAGGAGAGTCAGGTCTTGAGTCAGCATATACTGTGCTTTGTACTTTCAGCTGTTCCCATGATCTTATGTAAAACAAGCATAATATTTTGATTTCTGAAGTGATGATTTTTGTACCATTGTCTCTACTTTAAAAATTGTTTTTTATTTATTTTTTTTTTTTGAGACGGAGTTTCACTGTTTTCGCACAGGCTAGAGTGCAATGGTGCTACCTCAGCTCACTGCAACCTTTGCCTCCCGGGTTCAAGTGATTCTCCAGACTCAGCCTCCCAAGTAGCTTGGATTACAGGCATGTGCTATCACGCCTAATTTTTGCATTTTTAGTAGAGATGGGGTTTTGCCATGTTGGTCAGGCTGGTCTCGAACTCCTGACCTCAGGTGATCCACCCACCTCAGCCTCCCAAAGTGCTGGGATTATAGGGATGAGCCACTGTGCCTGGCCCATTTTAATTTAAAATATTATTATTTATTTATTTTTCAAGCTGGATGTCTCACTCTTGTCACCAAGGCTAGAGTGCAGTGGCACAGTTTTGGCTCACTGCAGCCTCAACCTCTTGGGCCCACCTCAGCCTCCTGAGTAGCTGGGACTATAGGCATGTGCCATCATGCCCAGCTAATTTTTTATATTTTCTGTAGAGATGGGGTTTCACCATGTCGCCCAGGCTGGTTTGAACTCCTGGGCTCAAGTGATCAGCCCACCTTGGCCTCCCAAAGTGCTGGTGTTATAGGCATGAGCCACCACGCCCAGCCCCTACTTTTTATTATTAGCAAAATGTATGTGCTGTGGTACATTGTTGGTTTTTTTTTTTTTTTTTCTTTGAGACAGAGTCTTGCTCCGTTGCTCAGGCTGGAGCACAGTGGTCTGATCTTGGCTAACTGCAGCCTGAATCTCCTGGGCTTAAGTTGTCCTCCTGCCTTAGCCTCCCAAGTAGCTGGGACAATAAGTTTGTGCCACCTTGCCTGGCTAATATTTTGGAATTTTTTAATTGAGATGAGGTCTTGCTATGTTGTCCATGCTGGTTGCAAACTTCTGGCCTCAAATCCTGCCATCTTAGCCTCCCAAAGTGCTGGGATTACAAGTGTGAAAGTGTGAGCCCAGCTTCACTTTCTGCTAAGTGAGAAAAGCAAGTTGATACTAGATTTAAATGTAAATGTAAATAAACATGGTTTGTACATAGAAGGCCTTTTTTTCCCCTACGTGGCCAGTTAGTATGTATCTAGGTTATTAGTGCTTGATTCTCTCTTTACGTTATTTAGGTGAGTTTGTAGTAAACAAATTATTATAGTGTCAACTCAAGTAAAGGCTGTTGAGGCAGAAATGATTTGATACAGGTTTATTGAAAGCCAAATGTGAGGATTTACCCGGGGAAGACACTAACAAATTTGGGTGTGTTCTAGAGTTTGCTACAAGTTGGAAAGCTTTTATGGGAAAGTTTAGGACAAGGGAGGACTCCTCATTCCCGAGTTGTCCTTTTCATTGGAGAGGACAATACAGAGGTCACAATCATTGGCTACAGATTACAAATACAAGCTAAAACATTCTATATGCAAGTAAATCATGAAGTAAAACTTCATGATTCAGAAACAAATCAGTGTCTTTTTCAGCATCAGTAGGTTGCATATTAATCAATGTGTCAACATCTGAGAAACTTAAGATTTCCTTACTCAGGGACAGGATGGAAACCATGAATCATAAGATCCCTCAACCTGCCCAGGCAGGTTGATTTGGAAACCTACCAAATGTGACATGTAGGTTATCAATAGCATGAAAATAGTGTTAGCCCAATGGAAATCTCACAAGAATTTTTTGTTTTGTTGTGAAGAGATAGGGACTTACTCTGTCACCCAGGCTGGAATACAGTGACACTGTACCCTCAAATGATCCTCCACCACAGACGACCAAGTAGCAGGGACTACAGGTTCATACTACTATTACCAGCTAATTTTTAAAATTTGTTTCTTATAGAGGCAAGGTCTCATCATATTGTCCAGGCTGGTCTTGAACTCCCAGCTTCAAGTGATTCTCCCACCTCAGCCTTCCAAAATGTTGGGGTTATAGGCATGAGCCATGCGCCCAGCCTAAGAATTTTGTTTTTTAAGCATGCTGAAAAGAAGTCTTGGTTCCCAAATGTTTTCTAGAAGTGCAGTCTTAGTGGAGTCAAGTGATCAGGGAATGATTATAAAGACTTTGCTTATGTAAGAATTAGGCTTACATTATCAATTTGTTCTTATTTTAGACTTCCTTTGTTACTTTGGATGAAGCTATTAAGATAACCAACAGGCGTGTAAATGCCATTGAACATGGTGAGTATCAGGTACTGTTGAGTTGCTTTGTCACTTGTCCAAACCTCCCCACTTGTCATGAAACTGCTAGGATTCAGGCACCGTACTGAAGACTGAAAGGTGAATAAGAAGCTGCCTCTGCCCACTATGAAAAGAGAGAAGTGTATCCATAATGCAAAAAAGTGTTATGAAGCATTCTGATAGAAGTATTTGTATGATCTGCGGGAGTTACACACAAAGGAAAGTGGTGATTTAAAAATTAAGGAATGTTTTATTCATTTCCAGTTATTCATGCAGTTATTTAATGGTAGATCCTTGGTGTTTTCTTTAGTTCTTTCTAATGGTTGAATGATGTAACTTTTTGAGTACATTAAATATTTAATTTTAAATCCCTATGGGCCATTCTCCTTGATGTCTAAAAAATTTTCCAATTTGATGTACTTATTTTCCATCCCTTTTATTTCACTATTTTAAAAATATGACTGCTTAGTGTTGACAGTGCTTTTTTCTCAATAAACTTAGTTTTCATTAAAGAAACACTTACTCAATTTCAGATAAGAAAGCAAAATTTGAAGCAAAGAAATTCCTTTGCTTGGGGCCATATTAGTGTTAGTGAGAGTTATCTCTTTTTTTTTTTTAAACGGAGTCTTGGTCTGTCACCCAGGCTGGAGTGCAGTGGCGTGATGGAGTGCAGTGAGCTGACTCACTGCAGCTTCCACCTCCTAGGTGCCAGCGATTCTTCTGCCTCAGCCTCCTGAGTAGCTGGGACTACAGGCACATGCCACCATGCCTGGCTAATTTTTTGTATTTTTAGTAAAGACGGGTTTCACTGTGTTAGCCAGGATGGTCTCAATCTCCTGACCTCGTGATCCACCCGCCTCGGTCTCCCAAAGTGCTGGGATTGATTACAGGCAAGTTATCTCATTAAAACTTTTTTGACTGCTTGCTAGTGCCAGGCCTTGTACATGAAAGTGGGAGCAAAACAAAAATGGATAGTTTGTAGTTCTCACCCTCAGAGTTCACATTCTAGGAGCAGAATAAATTCTATGTAGTTGGGCCTAATGACTGATACAAACTCAAAATCAAGCATTCTGTCTGCTTGATTTTTTAACAGGTAATTGGTACTATATTTAAAATAACATCTGTGCTTCAATGTTATATATTCATAGAATCAGCACATTCAGTGTTCTGTTATGGCCCAATATGTTATCTGTGCATAGAAAAGACACTAGAAGGGTATACACCATTATGTTTACAGTAGTTAACTCTTTTGGATGGTTCAGTTACACTCCATTTTCCTTTTTTTTCTTTGTGTTTTTATTTTCCAAGTTCTCTGCATTAAATGTACATTAATTTTACAATTAGGAAAAAATAACTCTTTGAAAAAAGGGGTTTGAAGTTCTCATACATATATATATTTTTTCAACTCTAGTCATCATTCCCCGGATTGAACGTACTCTTGCTTATATCATCACAGAGCTGGATGAGAGAGAAAGAGAGGAGTTCTACAGGTTTGTTGAAATTGCAGTTATTGATCATTTTTTGTTTTCCATATTCCAAAGGCTCAATTTGCTGAATGACTTATTGGTTTATGTTCTTTAGAATTAGCACAGCTTGTGTTTCATTCTGATAAAGAAGTATTACCAAAGTTGTGGAAACAAATCTGTCAAGTTTTACATGTACCTATAACATGGCATTTCCAAAAAGTTAGGCCTTTCAGAGAAACTATTTAGACTTTTTTTTTTTTAATGTATGTTAGATAGTCAAATGCAGTAGTGAAAAGTGGGAAAACTATTAGAACAAGGAGATTGATCTGTGACTGTGAGTAGTAGAGACAACTCACTACCTTTGAACTAGTTAAGACTCAATTATTCTTTTTATTATTATTATTTTTTGAGACAGACAGAGTCTTGCTCTGTCACCGAGGCTGGAGTGGAATGGTGCAGTCTCAGCTTATGCACCACCATGCCTGGCTCATTTTTTATTACTTTTAGTAGAGTTGGGGTTTCACCATATTGGACAGGCTGGTCTCAAACTCCTGGCCTCAAGCAATCCACCCGCCTCGGCCTCCCAAAGTGTTGGGATTTCAGGTGTGAGCCACTGTGCCTGGCCCTCGATTATTATTTAAAATGAAATGATTTAGATTGGGTGTCAGCTACATAAAAACTGAGAGAAGAAACTAGAATTCAGCTATTATTCAACAAATACGTATGTTATGTTCAGAAGGTATAAAGCACTTGGAGGAGGCGTTACCAAATAGTACATAAACGACACCATTAGAGAATTAGCATAGAACTTGGAGAGAAAGTATGCATGTCCATGAATTGGTTATGAACATTTAGAGTAAATAGGGATTAAATATTAAACTGGTGGTGTACAGGGGTCTGTATACCCAGTTCAGAGAAATGGGAGGTAGGTGAAGGCAGGAGTATTTAGGAAAGACATGAGGGGTCTTAGACCTGGAGTTAGTATCTAATTATGGTTTATAATCTTATAATTATCAAAGGTTAGTTTTTTAGTTTCTGTTCTTCTGTGATATTTAGGGTTGTGTTGATCCAAAAATTTTAAAAAAATGCCTGAATGATCAAAATCTGTTCCATTAGAAAATGGATTTCAAAATAGAACCTAATAAAGGCTTCTATCTCAGGTTAAACCAGTTATCAGGTTAAACCAGTTATTAGCTTAAACCAGTTATCAGCTTAAAATTATGTTATTTTTTAAAAAGGGTTACAAATAAATTACTGACAATGAAATTAATAAAAGTACCAAGTTTTTTTTTCCAGATATAGGTATTATCCTTGTTACAAAACTAAAATAAATCAAATCTACTTATTATTGAAACAGTGTTTAAAAAATCCACCCCCACCTTTATTTTATAGGTTAAAGAAAATACAGGAGAAGAAAAAGATTCTAAAGGAAAAATCTGAGAAGGATTTGGAACAAAGGAGAGCAGCTGGAGAAGTGTTGGAGCCCGCTAATCTTCTGGCTGAAGAGAAGGACGAGGATCTTCTGTTTGAATAATCTTTCCTGTTCTGGTTTTTTCAGAAACCGTAACACTGGCTTCATTTTAATTCACAGGGTGTAGATTTGATTTGTGGGCTATTTATCTTTTGGCCTAAGAATTTCACTGGCTATAAAATTTACCTGGATGTCTTATTTATGGGATTACTTTTGCAGAATCATAATTTAGCAACCATTCATCATGGATGAAAGAGATCTGTAAAACCTGCCCAGGAACTTACAGAATTTACTCTGCAGAAGTGTTATCGTACTCCATTTACATCTGTGTTACACATGATCTGCTTACCAGGCATATTAGGAAATACCTCTTAGGAAGCATTAGTGGTCTCAGGCCAATTACTGTGGAGCAGCTTTCATTCCTACCCAGTTGCAAACCTTGGCGCTGTTGTCTGAGATTGCTGTAGCCATTCTTGTGTTACCATGGTACTTCTCCAGCTTTATGAAAACCTGCACTTACTTTTCCTTGCATGACAGGTCCCTGTCTTGTCTGTGATGGGAACAGTTCTGTCAATTTAAATGTGACTGTGGTATAAATAGAGTAAAATGACTTAAAAATAAGTCATTCCTTTTTTATTAATTTACTATTACGTTATGGTCTCATGCTCAGATCAGCCAAAGCTTTCCCTGCAGACATGTAGGAAGTGGGTAGCCATTTTTCCCCCTCCATATATCAGAGTTTTACAAAAAGGCTTACTTTGAGACAACTGTTGCATTTTGGGATACTAATAAATGATTGCTGATGAGTTATGAGGGCATTATAATACTTCCTTATTTGCTAATCTAAGAAAAAGAACTAGTTCCCATTTTGAAGAAATAGGGTAACTTTTTACTATTTATAAATGATAAAAACGTGCTTTCATATATGAAGATGAGGCATTTGAGTGGCCGCATCAGGTGGCTAAGGTTTTTAGTACTGTTTGATTTGGCATAAACATCCATGATTACTCAGTCTTTCTTGCAACCAATTCCAGGCATTTTTGATATGACTGGCCATGGAATAATGTTTAGTTCTCAAATTGTAACACTATCTTTATTAATATTGTATTTTAATCAAGTGACAGTCTAGGCAGTTTATTTTTTTTTTTTTGAGACAAAGTCTCACTCATTCTGTCACCCAGGCTAGAGTGCAGTGGCAGCGATGTTGGTTCACTGCAATGCCCACATCCTGAGTTCAAGAGATTCTCCTGCCTCAGTCTCCTGAGTAGAGCTGGGATTACAGGTGTGTGCCACCATTCCTGGCTAATTTTTATATTTTTAGTAGAGATGGGGTTTCATCATGTTGGCCAGGCTGGTCTCAAACTCCTGACCTCAAGTGATCTGCCCGTCTCAGCCTCCCAGAGTGCTGGGATTATAGGCTTGAGGCCACCGCGCCCAGCCAGTCTAGACAATTCTAAAGTATTAAATGATTTTGCAAACATTTAACATCTCCTATAAAATAGGTGTTATGTGCCAGGCACTGTTTTTAAGTATTTTGTTCATATTATTTAATTCATTACAATAACCATAAGAGGCATATACTATTTTAACCATCTATTTTAAAGAGGAAAAATTGGAGACACAGGGAACTTGAGTAGTCCTAAGTGAAAAAGCTAGAAAGTAGCAAATCCAGAATTTAAGTCTAAACAGTCTACCTTCAGAGTTTTTACACCCTAACTTTTTCTTTCTGTTTCATCTACATTTCAGACTTTGGGTATCTAAAGACATTGGGACTGTTCTGGAGAAGCTGATATTTAGGAACTCTGGTTGCTGCACAGAGTAAAATCTTAGGTTCAGTGTAAATTCAGTAATGACTAGAAAACCAACAACTCAGTTCAAAACTACTTTAACATCTTGTCTTCCCAACATCCTGCTGAACTGTAAATTCTACTGTATCCACTTTGCAGATGAGGAAATCGAGGCTTTGACAAGTCGAAGAGAATAGCTGGAATGCAAGTCAAGTATAATTTGATTTCATTTGGTCTTTACATGTTAAGCATTATGTACTGCCTTTCTAAGAGGCAGAAATTAATTTGAAGTAGGGAACCAGATTAGTGGTTTTCCACATTTAGGTAACTTCAATATTCACTTTAAAGCAACAAGCCAAAGGACCCTAGATTTCTCCTGTGGCTTCTTAAAGCCCTGGAATGTATTGGCCTTGGTTAAAATGCTTATGAAAGTGCACAAGATTTTATAGTTTAGCATTTGTTAACAAGAAATGGAGAAAACAATGGACACATAATTTGTTGTATGGAGTCAGAGTTACCTGATTCATAGGAGAAGAATATAGGTCAAGAATAGGAAGAGAAAGCTGAACTGTGGTGACAGGTGTATATAAGTAAGAAACTTTTTGTTGGTGTATGAGTTATGACCTTTGGGAGATGTATAGCAGAAAACGAAGAATGGAAAAACAAAGTATGTTATATATTTACCAACAACTTACATGCCGCCTCAGTGTCCTCAAATCCTAGGCTGCACATAAGGTCCATTTGCCTGAGTATTACATACCTCCTTCTCCAGAAAACTTTCAAGTTCACAGCCTTGAGTTGTCCATCTTTAATACACTTAAGTTGTTGGTTTTAATAATTAAGGAAACAGGACCTACCTATATCTGTGCCAATAGGGGGCACTACCCCTCTGTAAAGAAAATCAAAAGGTATTTTGTGTTGCACTTGGAGGTTCCAGTGGTCTTGCTTTTGGCAAAAACTTGAAGAGGAGGGTGGTCTTTACATGCGTAGAAACCTTGAGTGGCAGAGGATATAACACACCAGCAAGAGGAATTGCTCAGTGGCTTTTAAAATTCGAAATATAATTTTACTTTTTATTTTTACAATACAGTGTATAGTATGACATCTCAAAATAACAGAGTGCAGATACAGGATAAGAGTACAAAGGGGGATTAACAACAGATGTCAGAAGGTTACCTTTATTAAGGCTAAATCCCTGCTTTATATTTTCCACACATTCACAAAAGTACATTCAAATCATTCCTTATCAATACTTATTTCTTAGGCCATGAGAAAAGGAAAATCCAGACATTAGATTTTCATAGAAAGCAAATCTGGATTAGTCTAAATAATATTCTCTTTCCATTTGTTCTGACTTAGGAAAATTTGAGAAATAAAGATACGCACAAACCTAACAGTTCCTCATTGGATTTTCCAAGTACATTGCATTAGCTATTGATATCATTTCTATATTAACTGGTTAAGACCTCCCCCACACAGGTTTCCAGTCAGAACAACAGAGGGACAGGAAATGGAATTGGCCAGAGTGGCTATACAACTAGGCCTACAGCAATGCTTTTTCCCATGTTCTTTTGTGGGGGTCAGCAACAATTCACTTTAAGGATTGTTGAATATTAGCACATCCTTATCACTGGGATTTAGAAAAGTTTGGGACATGTCTATCTACCACTACTGATAAGGGAGAATGATAGGACTTCACTGACCTTGAAATATTTATCACCTCAGACTTCCTAAAAGTATGGCATGGCATGGCCTGTGGCTTGGTACAAGATTTGCTTGTTAAAAGCCATGTGCCTGAATCTTGACAGCATATGGCCCTGGTGTAGGCCTAATGTCTACAGGGGGCACAAGAGCCACTCACTGACACTGCCTGCACCCTCACTCTAACTTAACTTGAACTGCCAATAGTTTAGCTCTTGGAGTTAAAAACAGTTGTCAGTTAAATAAGCAGATCACAAAACTCCATTGTTGACCATAGACTACCCTTCATTCCTGAGAAGTAAACTGGAAAACTGAAAAGATTAAGTGCTGAATATATTCCTTAGTTTTTAATGCTAAAAAAATCAGTGTGACCTGTGAATTTTCCTGGCTCTAAACTGGAGTATTTCAGATTTGAAGAGATAGTATGTATGGCATTCCTTCCCTCAACCCAAGAATGTTATTTTCTTCCTAAGGAAAATTACCTTGAAAATATTTCCACATAAAACACACTCTCCAGCCAACTTAATAGGCCATGTAAATTTGAACAGAAAAAGGCAACATATAAACTATATTTGTTCAAATATATGTAAAAGAGGATAAAAATCAAACATATACACGACACCGAGACAAATTACTCCTTAAACACAATTGCTTATGTTAAATTAAATGATGTCAGTATTATTCCAGTGTTTAGCTCTGGGAATAGGAACTGCTCTAGCTAAAGTCACCATAAAAATAAAATCAAGGCATTCACATTTGAGGTCACACATCACACTATCCTAAAGGCTTGAAAAGACTACAAATTAACTTTCCATGCCAATTATAGACGTCGAATTTTAAAGCTACAACTATAGAGACAGTACAAAAATCCCATTAGCTTAAGTGTTCCTTTTATGATTTAGCAAGCTGTTGCATTCTGGTCATAAGAGGCAGACCTTGTTAGGTTAAAAACCTATTTCTATATATTTAATACCTTTTTCTCTCCAATATTCTTTTCCTAAAATGTTCAAATGACTTTCAGGTCTTCCTTACCTTTTGATCTTAAAGTCAATTGTCATAGCATTTCCCAAGGACATATATAATTTTATTTGAATGCTGAACAAGTGTTATCAATGACCATTTGTTGATCTATTAAATATTAATATACAGTACAGCAGCTATATTCATCAACAGAATTCCAGTTTATTACCTATATATGTAGCACAGTCATAGAATACTGTGCTTATACATAAAAATGCAAAAACTGTCAAATGTGCTGTCCTTCCATGTATATAAAAAACTATTTGCATCATGAGGAAGAAACTTTTTAACAGTCAATACAGATTATAATGAACACCTGCCATTCATAAAAATGTAACATACATTCTATTATACTATGCGGATGAGAGAAAGGAGGCAAGGTTAGCAAATCAGTTGAGACAACTTCAGAAAAAAACTCAGAAAATATTTTTTAAAAATAAGCATATTTTGTATATCTTAAGTAAATTATTAGTGTGTGTTGAGTGTACAGTCTGATCCACAAAGTTTGAGCAAAAAAACTGGAGCTTCTAATGGAATGTTTTTGTTTTTTTAAGAATCAAAAGACATACAAATGAATTCAAGTCTAAGAAAGTAGCTCTAAACCCAAGTGGCACCATGCTTTTTCTTTTTAGGAAAGTATCTCTGATGACTAAATTAATCTCCTAAGCAAATACTGCCTTGCCCAGTGCATAGAAGCACAGTTCCTCTGCTCAAATTCCCAATGAAGTCATTTAAGTGTTAATATTTACACATCAATATTTGTGTGAGACATGGACACTTGTATATACAAGTTTTTCACAGAGATACAACTAAGCAGAAAGGGTTTACATGAAAACAAAAGGTTTTAATAGGACAAAATGGAATGCTCTGTTGAAAGCTTCCATTTAGAATCCCAAAATGAGACAAGAACCGCTAAAACCATGTATAGAGAATAAAGGATGCTGTGCACAAACTGCCTAAGGGAATTGGCCTCTCACTAATTAGAGAGATCTAAGAACAGGTCTACAGCTAATACTGCTGCCTTCCACCTTATCCTCAATTTTGCTGCAATGTCGGGAAATCTTACTATTGTCAGTTTTTGCCAGATCAAGTCTAACATACCACAGAAGGGATGTTTCCTTCACCTCAGCCAAGTGGACGGTACCCACTGAGGTTCAGTATCGAGTTTGTTAATTAACCTAAGCAATTCCTGATAGGCTTTATCAAGATCTGAATTCACAATTGCCGTGTCAAAGTAGTGGCCATTGTTCTGCTCCATCTCTCTTGTCTTCTCAATGATTTCTCTCAACTCTTCAGGCTGCAAAGAGAAGATAAAAACTGTGAGATAATTCCTATCCTAACCAAATAATACAGGATGAGTCAGAAAAGGCCAAAGAATAATGAGTGACCTTCATAGCTTTCCTTCTGTCTCTCCCAACCTCAGGAGCTCCTTTCCAACTCTGTCATGGCCACAATGGTTTCCTGTGCTTTGGTGACTTCGGAACTCACAGTATGAACCATTTGGTATGCAATATATCCTGCTTTATACCACTATTTAGGTTTTCACATATTTTGTTTTATCTCACCAACAAGACTACTGGCTTCAAGAACACGGACTGTTACTTTGAATTCCCTAAAAACATTTGTTTTCTTTCTTTTTCTCTTTTTTTTTTCCCTTTATTTATTTTATTGCATTTTAGGTTTTGGGGTACATGTGAAGAACATGCAAAATTGTTGTATAGGAACACACATGGCAGTGTGATTTGCTGCCTTCCTCCCCATCACCTACATCTGGCATTTCTCCCCTTGCTATCTCTCCCCAGCTTCCCACCCCCCACCCTCCCTCCCCTATTTCCCCCCAACTGACCCCAGTGTGTAGTGCTCCCCTCCCTGTGTCCATGTGTTCTCTTTGTTCAACACCCGCCTATGAGTGAGAACATACGGTGTTTGATCTTCTGCTCTCCTGTCAGTTTGCTGAGAATGATGGTTTCCAGGTTCATCCATGTCCCTACAAAGGACCCTAACTCATCGTTTTTGATGGCTGCATAATATTCCATGGTGTATATGTGCCACATTTTCCCTATCCAGTCTATCGTCGATGGGCATTTGGGTTGGTTCCAGGTCTTTGCTATTGTAAACAGTGCTGCAATGAACATTCGTGTGCACGTGTCCTTATAGTAGAACGATTTGTAATCCTTTGGATATATACCCAGCAATGGGATTGCTGGGTCAAATGGAATTTCTATTTCTATGTCCTTGAGGAATCTCCACACTGTCTTCCACAATGGTTGAACTAATTTACACTCCCACCAGCAGTGTAAAAGTGTTCCTATTTCTCCACATCCTCTCCAGCATCTGTTGTCTCCAGATTTTTTAATGATCGCCATTCTAACTGGCGTGAGATGGTATCTCAATGTAGTTTTGATTTGCATTTCTCTGATGACCAGTGATGATGAGCATTTTTTCATATGTTTGTTGGCCTCACGTCTTTTTCTCTTTTTGAGACGGAGTCTTGCTCTGTTGCCAGGCTGGAGTGCAGTGGCATGGTCTCGGCTCACTACAACCTCCACCTCCCGGGTTCAAGCAATTCTCCTGCCTCAGCCTCCCAAGTAGCTGGGAATACAGGCGTGTGCCACCATGCCCAGCTAATTTTTTTGTATTTTTAGTAGAGACAGGGTTTCACCATGTTGGCCAGGCTAGTCTTGAACTCTTGACCTCAAATGATCCACCCGCCTTGACCTCCCAAAGTGCTGGGATTACAGGCGTTAGTCACCGCGCCCAGTCAAACATTTGTTTTCAAACATTCTAGGACACCATAACCTCTTCTTAATAGTAACATCTTCTGTAACATGGAGTGAACCTTTCTGGTTGGAGCAAGGACCTAAAATGCCATCTACTTTTGGCTCTAGTAAAGAGCCCTTGCACTTTGTTGTCTGTTGCAGAGAGTTAAAACTGTCCTAACAGTTTGGGAAACTATATAGAGCAGCCTACTTTAAAATACTGACTGAAGGAAAGGGTTATTTTACAAAGATAAGCAGGCAGCAAGGCTATGTGCAAAACTTATCCTGAACCCTTAATTATCAGGCACATGTGTTCAAGAAAGTGAAACTCATCCGCAAATCACCCCTGCCAATGAAGACAACTAATTAAACTCAAGACAAAATGTCTCAGATATAAAAGTCACACACAGTACAAAACAATTTGTATCATTCAACTGTTTGAACTTCTGTAACAGGAAGAAAACATATTAAAAATATGACAACTCTGGCTTGTCCTGAGGCAGTTTCTGGCATGATTCTCTAATTCTCATTATGGAATGTTGTACATCTGAATATGGCACACAGAACCCTTTGTTCCCAGCAGGGAATCTATTTCACCACTGTAAATGAATACACTGTGACATTTTTGCCAAAATTTATGTCTACCCAAAGCTCGAGATTATTGAAAGAACATTCTAGGACTCCACAGAGAACTGAAACTTTGTGGTGTTGGAGTTCAAATTAAAATGCTAAACCCCCAATCCACCTAGTTTTTATAAAATTTAAGGCATTATTATTTCATTTTACGCCAAAATGGCTTATATCACTTATTTAGTACTTTATGCCTGAAGTTCTCTTTCAAATTACAATCCACGGCTAAGATGAAACAAAATGTTTTAGTTCAAAATTTTTAGCTGAACTAGGCAAAACTGACTAAGTTCATACTGTCAGATAACCATTCTCAAGCCTCCAAACTAGCAGAACAGATTCAGAGATTCAGAGTACAATCAGATAACTGGTTGGTTACATTTTGCATCCAGTAAGTAACACCATCATTTTCTTAGCTAGCACAATTTTATAGAGCTAAAATTGAAAATTTGGTTTTACTTCAGCATTTCTATCATTGAGTAATAAAGCACTATTAGAAATACCAAAGGAGAGCCAGGCACAGGGGCTCCCCCGTGTAATCCCAGCACTTTGGGAGGCCAAGGCAGGCGGATCATGTGAGGCCAGGAGTTTCAGACCAGCTTGGCCAACATGGCGAAACCCCATCTCTATTAAAAATGCAAAAATTAGCTGGGCATGATGGTGCACATCTGTAATCTCAGCTACTTGGGAAGCTGAGGCACAAGAATCACTTAAAGCCAGGAAATGGAGGCTACAGTGAGCCCAGATTGTGCCACTGCACTCCAGCCTGGGCCACAGAGCGAGAAACTAAGAAAAAAAAAAAAAAAAAAAAAAAAAAAAACGAAAGGAGAAAAAAATGAAACATAAGTGGAAGAAATACAATCAGATACACCATCCTCTACCAAAAACTGTGGAATACACATTCTGACCGGTGTGCATAGAATATTCACCAAGGAAAATCAGATATTGGGCCATAAGATAAGGCTCAACAAATTTCAAAAGACTGACAGTTTTCAGGATCTGACCATCTGAAAAAAAAATCTTAACTGATTTATTAAAAAAATCTTATAAAAAATCTTAACTGATTTATAAAGTAAGGCTCAATAAATTTCAAAAGACTGACATTTTTCAGGATCTGACTACCTGTAATTTCCACCTCTTTCTAGATGTAAAAAAACTTAACTGATTTTTAACTCCACCTTGAATTATAAATCAGTTAAGATTTTTTTTTTTTTTAAATATCTCCAAAGAGGTGGAACTTAAATAACACACTTCGAAATAACCAATGGGTTACAGAAATAAGAAAAGGAAATTAGAAAATATTTCTAACAAAATAGTAACAAAAATATAAGGCCAAAACTTATGGGATGCAACTAAAGAACTGTTTAGAGGGAAATTTATAGCTTCAAATGCCTATATTTGAAAAGAAGAAAAGTTTAAAAATTACCTAAGTATTCATCTTCAGAAACTAGAGCAAGTGCAAATTATAGTCAAAGAAAAGATAAAGAATAGAAATGAATTAAATAGAAGACAGACAATAAAGAAAATAAAGACAAATGCCCTCCAACTTATTTCTTTTTCTAAAGAGTTTGATTATTCCTTTTAATAATAATAATTACTATATCTTTCCTGGTTCCAGATTGTGTCTTTATTCCTCTTTCTCTTGGATAGTCTCTTATTTCTCTTGGATAAACACCAATATTCTCTTTATTTCCTCTTGGATAAACACCTAGGTGTAGAACTGCTGAATCAAGAGATAAATGTATGTTTTAACTGTATAAAATACTGCTGTACTGTTTTTAGTTTACTAAACTGATATTGAAGGCTGGGCGCAGTGGCTCACACCTGTAATCCCAGCATTTTGAGAGGCCTAGGTGGATGGATCACTTGAGGCCAGGCATTCGAGGCCAGCCTAGGCAACATAGTGAAATCCTGTTTTTACTAAAAATAGAAAAAAAATTAGTCGGGTCATATTCAGATGTACAATATTCCAGAATGAGAATGAGAGAACCATGCAATAGCTGCCTCAGGACAAGCCAGAGTTGTCATATTTTTAGTATGTTTTCTAACTCTTACAGAAGTTCAAACAGTTGAATGATAAATTGTTTTGTACTGTGTGTGACTTTTATATCTGAGACATTTTGTCTTGAGTTTAATTAGTTGTCTTCATTGGCAGGGGTGATTTGGGGTGAGTTTCACAGCAGAGCATTTACTTGGCATATACTCTCTTACCACAATATAGATGATTTTCTGTGACTTTAATAATACATACAAGAAAAATCACATCTTTATGCCAATACCCATTCTTTCACAATACTGGCAAAACAGTTCAGAGATTCAGAGTACAATCAGATTGGTTACATTTTGCATCCAGTGAGTAACACCATCATTTTCTTAGTTTCTATATCAATTTTTTAATTTTTATTTTTATTTTGAGACCAAGTCTTGCTGTGTTGCCCAAGCTGGAGTTCAGTGGCACGAACTTGGCCTCTTGAGTAGCCAGTACCACAGGTGTGCACCACCATATCCGGCTAATATTTTTGTGTTTTTAGTAAAGACAGGATTTCACTATGTTGCCCAGGCTGGTCTTGAACTCCTGGCCTCAAGTGATCCATCCACCTTGGCCTCCCAAAATGCTGGGATTATAGGCGTGAGTCACTGAGCCTCGCCTTCTATGTCAATTTAATAAACTAAAACAGTTTAGCAGTGTTTTATATAGTTAAAACATACATTGATCTCATTTGATCCAGCAATTCTATTCCCAGGTGGTATCAAAGAGAAATGAAAACATATATCCACAAAAAGACTATATGAATATTTAGAGCAGCTTTAGTCATACTAGCTCAAAATTTTATCCAAATATTTTTTAACTGGAGAATGGATAAGTTGTGATGTATTAATATCATGGTATATTGCTCAGCATTAAGAATGGAATGAACTACTCTTAGATGCAACACAGATCAATCTCAAAAACATGCTGATCAAAAGCCATACAAAACCTTTAACAAACTGTATGCTTCTATTTAGGTGAACTTCTAGAACAGACCAAAGAAATCTATAGTGACAGAAAGCAGATTAGTGGTTGCCAGAAAGAAAGAATGGAGAGGTATTAACTTGAAAGGGGCATAAGCGAACTATATAGAGTGATAGAAATGTTCTAAATCTTGATTGGCATGGTGGTTACACAGGTGTACATTTCCAAAACTTGCTGAATTATAAAATTAAAAGGCAAGTATTTATTGTTTGTAAAATATACTTCAGCAAAGTAAAAGAATCAAAAATTTGTAATCAGAAAATCAAATACATTGTGTATTGTTAAAACATTTTGGTACTACTGATCAACTTCCTGCTTTAAAAACATGTATAAGCTAGGACCTGTGGCACATGCCTATAGTCCCAGCTTATAGGACTGAGATGGGAAGGTCACTTTAGTCCAGGAGTTCAGGGCTTGTAGTGAGCTATAATCATGCCACAGTACTCTAGTTTGGGTAACATCGAACCACCTCTCAAAAAAATATATAACGTCTGTCTAGAACTAAACTGAAAATTTAGGATAGCCAATTCAAAGTAAAGTCGATAAAAATTCCAATAGAACACTGCCAGAGACCAACCAACAGAAAGATGCTTAACATGTTTTGGAATGGTCTATGGCCCTTCATATAATACTGAATCCTTGTTGGAAAAAAAGAGCCTAAGAAGAAATAAGTATGCATGTTAGGAAATGGAAAATTAGGCTGAATAGGAAGAATAGAGTACACTCTGGTCCTTAGTTTGCATCCTGCTCCTTGAACAACTATGTTGTTTCTAACAAAGTAGTTACTGGACACTAAATTTTACACAGTATTAATCTTGTTTTTCTTGTTATATTGTGATCCTCAAGAACAGCCGATGACCATGCTGCTTATTTCCTTTGTATCATTCCAAGTGCTATGGATAACAAATACTCTGACCCCCAGTTAGTTATGAATTTGTAGGTATATGGCAAAAATGAAAAAGGGGTGCAGCACTACTTTACCCAGCTAGCCTACTAGCCTAGACAAAGCAACCAGGATGGGAAAGCCCCTGATGTTTGTAGCCTAAAACATTAAAAATTACTACCTCACATATAGATTGAATAAGAAACGTTAAGTAGACATAGAGTGAAAAAAGATATTTTGGAGGGTGAGGAGGAAGAGGAAGGGTTAATGTGTTGTGGTAGACAGTCAAGAATGAAAGGAAGGCTGGGTGTGGTGGCTTACACCTGCAATCTAAGCACTTTGGGAGGCCGAGGCAGGAGGATTTCTTGAGGCCAGAAGTTTGATACCAGCCTGGCAACATAGCAAGACCCTATCTCTACAAAATACATAAAAAATTAGGCAGGCATGGTGGTGCATGGCTATAGTCCCAGCCATTTGGACAGGCTGGGGTGAGAGGATCGCTTGAGCCCAGAGCCTGAGACGGCAGTGAGCCATGATCATGCCACTACACTCCAACCTGGACAACAGAGATTCTACCTTAAAACAACGGCGACAAAAAAGAAAAAAAAGAAAAGAATCAAGGGAAATGAGTGTAAATAGGCTTTTAATGATTATCTTTAAGAAGATTTAAAGGCACAGTCAATAAAATGAGGCAGTATGAATGAGCCGTCTCTAAAATAGATAATATTTAATAAACAATGAGCAAAAAAACAAGCACATGTTACTATTATGTAGTAAGTCACTTGACAGTTATCATCTTACATATTTAAATAAGTCAATGCCTTATTAACATATATTATCAGTCACTTAATTATAATAATGTTTAGTATGACATGGATTACCTCAACCACATCTAGCATAGATCTAATATAATTTAAAAAAATTCTTCTGTTCCAAACCATATGAGAAGATCAAAGGGAGGAGAAAAGCAGAACATAAAATTTGTCTCGTTGAAAATGTGGAGTATCTACAGAGAAACGTCAGTAATCCTAAAGAGGTGGCTAATAACTTTGGTGGCAGTCACATCTCCCTAGAAATGTCACAGACCCATGTGAAGAAGCTCAAACGTTACCATGCAACCAACTTTGGAAAGCTGTCATAGTCCAACCCTGTGGCAACCATAGCAATTTTGGGACAAGTAATATTACAGAAAGAATAATCAGTTTGAAAGCTCGAGCTAATGTAGCTTTTAAGCACCAGGACAAATTAGACCAGGTCTGTTTCATGATTACCTTCAATGGGATAGTACAATACTGTGAAAACTTTACCTTTGGATTCTTGCCTTCTTTGGCCAATAATGCCCGAAGTCTTTCTTGTGAAGGGGGTGCAATGAAGATAATATATGGTTTCAAATCTGAATTTCGGAGAGTCTTCAATGACTGTAAAAAAGAGATATTTGGATTTTTAAAATAATTTGCATCATTTAATTACTTCCCAGTATTGATTGTACATATATATAGATTAAAGGACTTGCTCTGTCACCTAGGCTGGAGTGCAGTGGCATGATCACAGCTCACTGCAACCTCAAACTCCTGCACTCAAGTGATCCTCTCACCTCAGCATCTCGAGTAGCTAGGAATATAGGCATGCACCACCATGTCTGGCTAACTTTATACTTTTTTGTAGAGACAGGATCTTGCTTTGTTACCCAGACTGGTCTTGAATTCCTGGTCTCATGCAACGCTCCTGCCTCAGTCTCCCAAATTACTGGGATTACAGGCATGAGCCATTGCACTTGGCCCAATTCACAGTATTTTTAAGATCCTACCATTCACTGTAAGAATATACTGTGAAGCTATAAATATACATACATATATATTATTTTAGCTTGCTCTTTTATGTAATGAAATATAAGTGAATAATATCTCTTGGATCAACTGTTGGAGATGCAAAAAAAAAAATATATATATATAAGTGAATGATAATGAAGGATGATAACTACGTGATATTAAAATATATTGCTAATAAGATCACATACAGATTACAATAGCCATATTAAAAAACCATTTTGGAGGAATTAGAATCATACAAGTTGCCTTACTATGTGCCAGATACTAAATATAAGCAAAATCATAGAAAATAACTTCACATACACGTGCAAAAGACAATTCAAGAAAAGCACATTTAAGAAAAAGTAGACTGTGTTTGAATTTGGAGATTGTGGTTTTCACTTTGTTACCAATGCATGACTATGTATCCTCAAACTGAAGTGTTCTGTCAAAATGGAGATTATAGGAACACGCCATTTCTATCTAAAAACATTAAGATGATTAAAACAAGATGCTGAGTTATCTGTTAAAATCTGTTTGCCCTTTTTCGTGGAGAAATAAGAATTCTTAAAACCTGTTAGCCCAAGTAAATAATTCTAAATAAATTTAGTAAAAACATGTATTAAATCAAAAATTTATAATTGAAATAGTAGAGCCTAAGTGCATACAACAAAAATCCCTAACTACTATTTTAGAATAGCCATTTTAGGGTCAATTCTCTTTTATGTATATCTTTTTAATGACCACTGACTATGTTGTTTGAGTTGACATGAGCAGCAGATTCTACCACATCGAAGAAAGTTGTCTGCTAAAGCTGTATGGTCTACAAAAATTAAAACAATTTCCCCTAACATTTGGAGTTTCTTAAAAACTCCAAATTTCTAAAATTAGTTTTGTTTTTTTTGTTTTAAGACAGGGTCTCACTCTACTTACTCTATCACCCAGGCTGGAGTGCAGTGCAGCTCACTGCAACCTCCACCTCCCTGGCTCAGGTGATTCTTCCACTCCAATCTCCCAAGTAAGTGGGACCACAGATGCACGCCACCATGCCAGGCTAATTTTTAAAATTTTGGTAGAGATGGGATTTTGTCATGTTACCCAGGCTGGTCTGGAACTCCTGAGCTCAAATGATCCACCTGCACTGGCCTCCTAAAATTATCATTTTCAATAGAAGGCTAAGAGGCACTAGTTAGTAATTTTATACTTTTGCTTAGTCTGCCAAATAACTGAAACTGAGGTTTCATAATTTTCATACAACCAAGCACTCATTGTGATATTTGTTAATATTTGAACAATGGCACTTAAACCATAAAAATCATCTAGAAATTTTCTAATTTTTCTCATATCAGAATCAGAAAAGGAAATTCTTTTATAGACTCTAAAATTAAAGTATGACCAGTACTATATTCACTGTATTTTAAGTTTAAGAACATACATACAAATATATATATATATATAAGATGAACATCTCTAATCCAAAAATCTGAAATCTAAAATCTGAAACTTTCTAAGCAGTGACATGATGGCACAGGTAGAAAATGCCACCCCTGGCCTAATGTGATGGGTCATTGTCAAAACGCAGGAGCAGACAGCTTTATTCAACATCCCCAGGAAAAATAAAATTACCTTCAGGCTAAGTAAATAAAGAATATATAAAAGATAAATGAAATTCATTTCAGACTTGGGTCCTATCCTCAAGATAGCTCATTATATATATGCAAATATTCTAAAATTCGAGAAATTCTGAAATTCAAAACTCTGCTCTCAAGCATTTTGAACAAGAGATAGTCAACCTGTATATGTAAGTATGTACATGTTTTCCCCTCTGAGGAACCTGAAAGAGATTTAGCAAACTGTGATTTCACATAGCAAATCAGTGGGAAAAACCATATGAAAACTTAATTAGGTCACACTGTTCCTGGACCAAAATATGGTTTCCACTAGATTACTTTGTATGACACGCCCTCTAAGTTCAAACCCTAAAACAAAACTCTAGCTTTACCTGTGTACGAAGACTTAAAAGACATATTTTGCCAGAGTTGATCACTTGCCGTACAGAATCTATGCTAGTTCCATACAAATTCTTCTCAAATTCACCATGCTCAATGAACTTTCCAGCTGCTATATCTGCCTCAAATGCTTGCCGTGAAACAAAGTGATAATCTCTACCAGCTACTTCTTGGTCTCGCCTATTCCGAGTTGTATCTAGGCAAACAAAATCAGATAAAAATAATGAGCATAGCTTACAGTGAGGATGGGGGATAATTCTGCTAGTCAGAAAGAATTTTTATTTTGCAACACAGAATATGAAATAATAAAACTGAGGAAATGCTAACAGCCTACATGTTTAACATTGTTTTTATGTTTTGTAGGTTGAAAAATGAACAAAAATGTGTTTGTAGTATCTCAGTAATAGTTGTATTTAGTTATCTTAATATATTTTATGCTTACACTTCAAGTTACTTCATCCTGCATTTAAAACACTACTAATCTTCTCCTAAAGTTTACTTCCATAAAATTAGGTACTATATAATCTTAGAACTTCTGTTTTCAGATTATGCCAAAGTTTCTATCTTCGGTATTATTTTAAAGAAGCAGGAGCTGACTCCCTATGGAATAGGAAATTGTAAGGGGCCCAAACAGAAATTTGTTTAGAAAACAATTAGTACATACTCGAAAAACAAATTTAAAACTTCTTAATAAACTATTTTTAATTTAAAAATTGTCAAAATATTTGGTTAAACAAAGTTCCTCTTTCATTGATAACATTGTTTTAATAAAAAGAATAAAAAATTTCCCTACATAATATAGTTAGGTTCTGAGCCGCTAAACTGAAAAGCACAGGAAAATGGGAATGCATTCAAACTTACGAGGAACTGCAGATGCAAAGCGGTCCTTTTCTTTGTTCATGAGCCTTTGACGCAACTCATTCTGGCCACAGTTCTGTGGACCAATCAAGATGATAGGTCTTTTCCTATTTGCTGGCTGATGATAAAGTGACATTTCCTCATAAGTTAAGATCTCCTCGTTGTCATAATCTTTGGGGAAAAAAAAGTTAAGCCCTTCAGACAAAATTATTGCCATGTAATACAAATATAAATACTCATAAATTTTCCCCCCAAATTAGAAAGAATCACAATTTATTATCATTACATCCTTGCTAGGATACCACGAAAATGAATCAGACAACAATATATTACTCCTTTTATTAATACTCTTTCATACTGTTCTTGAATATCTAATACAATATATCATACAGATCCTTAAACAGTTAGTTTGCAGTCAATACTTTGAATGAAGATGGGGTACCAGGGGACAAACTAGTAGGAGTAGTAGCTGTCAATTTTGTAAAATGCATATATTAATACTCTACTTAAGAAGGTTGTTTTAAGAATCGGACGTAATGTATATGTAGAATACAATAGCTGGCAAAGACCAACATTTATATATGGTGGCTACAACTAGTGTTATCAGAGAAAGCTGAAATACTTCCCTGTAGTTCCAGCTTGTCCAACCTGTGGCCCATGAGCCACATGAGGCCCAAGATGGCTTTGAATGTGGCCCAACTCAAATCTGTAAATTTTCTTAAAACATTATGAGATTTTTTGAAAATTTTTTTTTAGCTCATCAGCTATCTCTAGTGTTAGTATATTTTACGTGTGGCCTAAGACAATTCTTTTTCCAATGCAGCCCAGGGAAGCCAAAAGATTGGACACCCCTGCTATAGTTAGTTGTATAATTTGCCAACAGGCCATACCCATGTTATCTACTCTTTCTGCATTTATGTTGACTTTACTCTGGAATGCTAACCCAGAGTCATGACTCACAACGAGGTTTAAATTATGACAGGTGGGGTAACATTCCTAAAGCCCATAATCCAGATGAAACTAGAGCTGTCAAGTGGTACGAACAAAAGCAGACAGCTAGTAGCCTGCCAAGTCCTCACTCCTATTACTTCTCTCGACTGAGAAGGAGCATCAGATGTGGAGTCAGACTCCTTCAGCTCCGTTTCTATGAGGTTAGGGGACCATCTTAGGCTTGTCAATGCTCAGTATGGAGCCTGGCACAGAGCAGAAGCTCAAACTATATTTGTTTAAATTCCAGCTCAACCAATCATATATTAATTGTTAAGAATTTCAGCAAATCACTTTAATATGTACACTTGAATCTATTACTCTGTAACCTCATTTGTGAGAACAAAATCATATAGTTACTACCCTGAAATACCGTAGTTATTATGAATTGTAGTTATTTTAAAATATTCACGATGATGACACCATCATAAACAGCAAATATAATTCCTTCTCTCAAATGATTTTCCCTGAAAAATCTGAGTTCCTTCTAATATGTATAATGAAGACAGTGGTAGCATTTCGATTTACAGACAGGATATATATCCATAGGGTTCATATTTGCCAAGTTTTCTACAGTATAGTAGCTCTTAGAGCTGGACTACTTTAGTCTTTTTCAGAAAAAAATTAAAGATATTAATCACAAATATAGAGGCTAAAATTTAAAACTCATTAAATCTTTTTAGTTACATATCTGTCAATTAGCATTAAAGGATGTTTATTTTAGAAAAAATTTACAAAGTTGATCACATCTCCTTTAGCTTTTATGTAGTATAATAAACTATAATGTTTTAACTTTATTAGTTTAGGCTGCCTCAAAATATTTCAAATTCTTGAGAGAATAAGCCTTGTAAAATGCGTACAAAGGAATGCCTTTGCTTTATTATTTGGCTTGCTTCTAATGTGAACCAAACAGAAGTAGCAAACTCAAATGCCCATAAAAACCAATCAAGAAGGTAATAAAATCAGTATTTCAGGTTGGGTCAATAAAACATTGGAAGGGATAGAGACTGTTAAGCTAGACACTTGCGCTCGATATAAGGGCAATAGTCATCACTCAGGTCCAGTAGACTGTTGTCACCTGGGAATACTAACCCAACTTTATCAGTGCTTTTGATTTTAAGAGAAGCTACAACTTTCGAGCTTTTTAAACTTAGCAATCAATCAAAATAAAACAAAAACTCTCTCGTGTGTCTGACTTAGCCAGCAGGTAGTAGGCTCTCAGTAATGAGTTGCTTCTGTGACATGAGCTATTGCAGAGGAAATTCTTTTTACTTCAAATATGTTCTGTAAGAATTTGTTAGGAATATTAATTTTGCAAAGAGTTTAAGTAGAAGGAAACTATTTAATACAACATGTGCTAAATAGTACTTGAATTTTTATATCAATTTTCCCCAGAATTCAAAATACTGCCTTACTCAGAGGATTCCAAAAGAAAATACTTTCTACTAAATGATTTTCTCAAGCACTTATTTAACATTATGGTCTAAAACAGGACTAGATTTAGATTCCTTTCAGATATAATTCCACGTATCCCTGGGAGTAGAACTTACCATCATTTTTATTGGCATTATATAAAACCTTTTTCCTCTTCTTTTTATTCTTCTTTGCACACCATAGTTTTCCTGTTGAGCAATCATAAACATAACTATAAATGTTTTCCCTTGAACAAAGCCACATAACTCAAATTGAAGAACTCTACTTATACATTCATTCATTCTTTAAATTTTGTTTGCAGAGACGAGGTCTTGCTATGTTGGCAAGGCTGGTCTCAAACTCCTGGCCTCAAGACTCCTGGTCTCAATCCTCCCACCTCAGCCTCCCAAAGTGCTAGGATTAAAGGTGCGAACCACTGCATCCAGTTTGTTTTTAATTTACTTTCATTAATACTTATTACACTGTTTGTAGAAAGACTATTTTTCAGGAAAGTATTTATAATTTTCCATTAACTATACAATATAGGCATATAATCTTTAATAGTTAAATCTTATCCTTTCTTTACAGTTCTAAGATAATCGGTTTTGCCTCTTGTATCACTCTTTCCATAAGTACTTCTTTCTCACAGTTCCAATATGCAAATGTACACATGGCTCCAGATGAAGACTCAAGAAACCTCTTAATAATGTCAAATACAAGTGTCTAACCTGATTTTTCTGGCTCCTTATCTTCTTCTATGGTTTGCTTCATGGCTTCCCTTTGCTGCTGAAAGCTTTTCCCTTAATAACAGAAAGAAAAAGAAGGGTAAAATATTTAAGATAAAAGGATAAGATTTTTTTTCTTTTAAATTAACAAGGAAAAGCACTCGATGTTATCTCTTCATTTATATTTCCTCCCAAATCTTTTTGCCATCCTTTGTCAGCTATGATGTGAAGCCTTCAAATTTTTAAATTAACTCTGCTCAATCAGTCCTATGTATATTATTGGACTATATATCATCTCTTAGAATAAATAAATATTTAAAAATTTAATAGTTCAACTTTTAAAAAGGTTTCATTGAGCATTTACTTTGTGGAAAATTACTATCCTGAATCTTAGAATGGTTCTACTCCTTTAGAATTACCTCAAATTAAGCATATCAATTCTAGGAATTAACTTTTCCAAAACAACATATGGGCATTCATCACATATTCAATTCCATATTCAATTCCAAGAAACCATTCAACATATTCCTTTGCATGCATTATTCTCAATCCTTCTTCTTATGTGTATGTATACATATTAGCAATTTTTTATTTCCACTTTTAAGTTACTAATTATATAAATGGGAAACATGCTTTTCCTTATAAAATTAATATATTAATGTAGAAGACTTTCAAGGCTTCTGACCTTGAAAGAGGTCTTCTTTTCAGACCTCTACCTTAAAATCAAATATGTCTTTTCCTATTAGAAAATGCGGAATTACATTGAAGTTCCACTTTTGTATTTAATTTTTAAATCTAATTCTTTCAGTATAAAGCCAGAGATTCTTAAAAATCAGTAAGTAAATTCTATAGAGGTTGGGATAATCTGTAGAATTTAGTGCATTTCATAAGTGTACTAACAAAAAGGTTAATACTGAGTTCGACACACATAATAAGCACTAAAGGAAGCCTGGTTCTTTTGAGATGAAGTCTTGCTCTGTCGGCCCAGCTGGAGTGCAGTGGCACGATCTTGGCTCACTGCAACCTCCACCTCCCAGGTTCAAGTGATTCTCACATGTCAGCTTCCCAAGTAGCAGGGATTATAGGTGCCCACCACCACACCCAGCTAATTTTTGTATTTTTAGTAGAGACAGGATTTCACCATGTTGGCCAGGCTAGTCTTGAACTCCTGACCTCAGGTGATCCTCTTGCCTTGGCCTTCTAATGCCGTAATTAGAAGCATAAGCCACTGTGCAAGGCCAAGACTATATTCTTTTTTTGTGTGACAGAGTCTCCCTCTATTGCCAGACTAGAATGCAATGGCGTGATCCTGGCTCACTGCAACTTCCGTTTTCCAGTTTCAAGCAATTCTCCTGCTTCAGCCTCCTGAGGAGGTGGGACTATAGGCACGCACCACCATGCATGGCTAATTTTTTTTGTATTTTTAGTAGAGATGGGGTTTCACCACGTTGGTCAGGATGGTCTCGATCTCCTAACTTCGTGATCCACCCACCTTGGCCTTCCAAAGTGCTGGGATTACAGGCATGGGCCACCACACCCAGCCTATATTCTTAATAAAACAAGTAACTATTACTAGAAGGAAAATTTTAAGATGATTAAAATTAAAAAAAAAAATTAGTTGATTTTTAAAAATCAAGAATAAAGCAATTTTAATAGTTTACAGACTAAAAATTTTAAACATTGCAGTGAGGTGCTTCTGTGGCATATTTTTATAGTATGAACTACAGGCTATTCTGAAATAGAGGCAGAAATTAATTAGATGGAAATCTTTTTTTTTTCTCTCCCTGAGACAGGGTATCGCCCTGTTGTCCAGGCTGGAGTAGATCAGCGTGGTCACAGCTCACTGCAGCCTCAACCTTCCAGGCTCATGCAATCCTTCCACCTTAGCCTCCTGAGTAGCTGGGACTACAGGTACGCACCACCATGCTCAGCTAATTTTAAAATTTTTTGTAGAGACAGGGTCTCATTATGATAGCTATGCCACTATGTGGCCCAGGCTGGTCTCAAACTCCTGGGCTCAAGTGATCCTCCCGCCTCAGCCTCCCAATGTGCTGGGATTACAGGGGTGAGAAACCACAGCCGGCGTCATAATGATCTCTTAAAAAATCCATCTAATTCTGATGGAAAGCCATTGTCAAACTCTAAGGTAGGTCTTTAATCTTATTAAAAGTGTTATCACTGGAATCTATATACATTCAGAAAATCAACCTATCAAGAAACCCTAGTTCTAAACATTTATGGGCTAAAGTTTGGCATGATAAGATGACACCATACTGATATTTGGCACAAGCCTGAGGCGGACCCACAATGGCTGCCCAACACTCCAAGATTCTAGAGAAATGTCCTGTATTGTTAACTCTGAAGAATCACGGGTTGTAGCATCATCCTCTAAAATAAATGTAAGAAGTCCATTTCTCCTTCCTTAAAATATGACTGATATAGACAAAATCTGTTTCTTGCTTTTGAGTTTTAAAGTGAGAAACTTGAAGTTTTCTGTGACCTTATACTCAAAAAGAATAAATATAAATATTATGTTGAAATCTCTTGTTACCCAGAGAAGTGTCTTTGGGTTACTTACAGAGATAAAAGAGATTCCTTTTAACCTGTTCTAAAATCTATGGACAACTTCCTATGTTCCTCCTACATATCTGACAGTCAGTATTTCTTAGTCTTTTTTTCATGCCCTCCTTTTCCTCTTTTCCCCTAAACTACTGCTTGTAGTCAAATCCAGTGTAAGGCTAACTCTATTAGCTTTACACTTAAGATCTTCAGGTATCAGTAGGAGGGATGATCGCTAAAAAAATGTTGCTGGTAAAATATAAGGGCAGAAAAGGTTACAGAGAAGCAGTGAAAGGTCTAATTCAGAAACAGCAGTTCTGGCAGAATATTTTTTTTTTTTTAAAGACAGGGTCTCGCTCTGTCATCAGCCTGGAGTGCAGTGGCGTGATCTCGGCTCACTGCAACTTCCATGTCCTGGTTTCAAGCAATTCTCCTGCCTCAGCCTCCCGAGTAGCTGTGACTACAGGCATGCACCACCAAGCTCGGCTCCTTTTTTGTACTTTTAGTAGAGATGGGGTTTCACCATGTTGGCCAGGATGGTCTTGATCTCTTGACCTCGTGATCCGCCCACCTTGGCCTCCCAAAGTGCTGGGATTACAGGTGTGAGCCACCGTGCCTGGCAAACTTTTTTTTTTTTTAATGTTTTTTGTTTGTTTGAGAACTATTTTTTAAAATCACCTTTTGTTTATTAATTTAACATAAATTATCTGGATTTAAAATAAATAAGACCCAGTTTCGACCTCAAGTTTACAAACTGAGAATATATGGTAGAAAGAATTGTAACAGAGACAGTATCATGAAAGTATTATAAAGTAGGGGACACAGGAAAAAAAAATACACTAAACTATTAATGGATATGCTTTCAAGTCAAGCATGGAAGCGAAGTTTATCTCAGCACCATGCAAATGCCTTACATGGTGCAGACATAACAGCATTTACTAACAAATAGGTGATTATCCCTTTACCCTATGTCCCTATTTTTATCATCCTGTATTCCTTTGCCTTCTTTAATAGCTTATTATACTTGCCTTGGTTCTGCTCTCCTTTCTCCATTCTACTCCCATTCTGGGAACTATAAGAGCCATTTGTAGAAAAAAATTGTATCCACATACAGTCATGTACTGCATAACAACATTTTGGTCAACAATAAACCACATATACGATGGTGGCTGGAATAATAGGCTATACCACATAGCCTAGGTGCACGACAGGCCATACCATCTAGGTTTGTGTAAATACACTCACTCTATGATGTTTTCACAACAGTGAAATCACCTAACGGTACATTTCTCAGAACATATCCCTGTTGTTAAGTGATGCATGACTGTAATTTGTTTTATTTTGTATCATCTTAACTCTTTCTCAGAAACATGTTCCCTTAATAATCTTCATCTATAAAGTAAGCTAAAGTTACAGTTTAATCTAAATTAGGGATAGTTTCATCAATAAAAAATTTGGAGCTGGGCGTGGTGACTCACGCCTATAATTCCAGCACTTTGGGAGGCTGAGGTGGATCACCTGAGGTCGGGAGTTCGAGACCAGCCTGACCAACATGGAGAAACCTTGTCTATACTTCGCTTGAACCTGGGAGCCAGAGGTTGCGGTCAGCTGAGATCATGCCATTGTACCCCAGCCTGGGAAATAAGAGCAAAATTCTGTCTAAAAAAAAAATTGGAGCACCCTAGTTCTGCCCTAAGATCACATTTGGTATAATACATTCTATGATGTTACTTTTCCTGATTCCTTATAAAATGTTGCATCTTTCCTTCTCATAAATCGTGGTGATGCACTGATTAATGTCTTGGTATAGTATATAGTATAATACAAGTTGTGTTGCCTTGATAATGGGATCATCTTAATATGTATACAGAGAATGTAGTACAATATGGGATTGGCTGAAGTTATATATAATTCCATTCTAAAGGCCAAAGAATTGGCCACATTCTATTCAAGACACTTATGCTACAGGGACAACATAAAAACCCAACTACATGAAAAAGTAACTGCAAGATTTTTTTAAGAGGCATGAAAAAGTTAGTTTTTCTTTGTGAAGACTTGCATTTTGTATGTTCTTTTAATACTATGTACTTTCTATCATATTGTCTCTTACCTGGAACAAGCCCAGCTAGAGGTTGATTATCTTCGTCCCCTTCCCTGTAGGCCTGCCACCAGTTTGGATCTTCTTGACTGATCACATGAAGTATATCACCTTTTTGAAAAGACAGACCTAATTCTCGACATGGAACATAAGGGTCATCTGAGGGGTCATAGTCAAAATGAGCTTTTACATGGATCTAAAAGATAAAAAGGGCAAAAATAAAAACAATAAATGGCAATATAAAATGTTTTGTAAGAATATAAATGCTACAAATGTTATTTTTTTAATTTTAAAAAAATTTAATAGAGACAGTATCTCAGTATGTTGCCCAAGATGATCTCAAATTTCTAGCCTCAAGCAATCCTCCTCCCTCAGCCTCCCGAAGTGGTAGGATTATAGGTGTGAGCCACTGCACTTTGGACACAATTTTTCATTAGTGCAAAGAAACTGTAGTTGGAAGGAGGGTGTTAAGTAAAAGTGTTTTGGGGCAGTATTTTCTCAGGTTGATCTGTTGTCTTCTCTGTTGACTTGCAAATAGGTACAAGGACATCCACAACATTGATAGCAGCTACAGGTTGAGGTCCAAGGTGCCTCAAAAGCTTGAGAGAAGCAGAAATAGAATAGAATCCTGACGTATGAAAACAATGACTCTGCAATAAGGTATGCAATTTCTAAATCACTACTACCAGAAAAGGTACACTTTACCATACCACAACTCATCACTGAAGCAGGTGAATATCATCTTCCCTGTGGGTGTCATTGTCTCTGGACCCCACTGTCAGTCCAACTGTGCCTTACACTCTCTTGGTGTTTCTTCTAAAGGATATGTTCATGAAACAAGCACACTACAAATGACTAAAATTATCTAAATCAAGTTTATAATCAATTCCTTTTTGTATGCTATAAACATATTATTAATGGTACAAGTTATGATTTTTGCTAATAATGTGTTCTTGAAAATCCAAATAAATCAAAGAATTGTGCTATTCTACTTAGCATTAAGGGTAGATAGGAACTCTCATGAACTTTATAGAAAGCTACTTCATATGCCATTTCTTCCAGTATGCCTCTGTAAGATATGGCAGACTATTCCTACTTCCAAGAAGTTATAAAAGTACTAACATTCTCTTTAACTTCTCTATGTCTAATTTTTACCTAACCTGGGCAAGTTGCATGTGACACTTCCAAAATCTGTAAGAAACCTAATTCATTTAATGAAATCTCACACGTATTTGTAATAAGCATTTCTGTCCCACATAGGTTAAATTCCAAGTTCAGGTTCAGTGAACCAAGCAATAGATGAACAGCCAAAGAATTCAAGATCCATTTCTATCCAAATGTTATTTGGCTTTCTCTCTCTCTCTCTCTCTCTCTCTCTTTTTTTTTTTTTTTTAAGATGCAGTCACACTCTGTTGCCCAGGCTAGAGTGCAGTGCCACAATCTTGGCACAATGTAACCTCAACCTACGAGTTCAAGCGATTTTCCTATCTCAGCCTGCCAAGTAGCTGTGATTACAGGCACTCACCACCATGCCCAGCTAATTTGTTTTTCTTGTTTTTTGAGATGGAGTCTCACTCTGTCCCTAGGCTGGAGTGCAGTGGTGTGATCTCGGCTTACTGCAACCTCTGCCTCCCAGGTTCAAGCAATTATCCTGCCTCAGCCTCCCAAGTAGCTGGGACTATAGGCACCCACCACCACACCTGGCTAATTTTGTATTTTTAGTAGAGACAGGGTTTCACCATGTTGGCCAGGACGGTCTCAATCTCTTGACCTTGTGATCAACCTGCCTTGGCCTCCCAAAGTGCTGAGGTTACAGGCATGAGCCACCACACCCAGCCAATTTTTTAATTTCTAGTAGATACAGGGTTTCACCAGTTGGCCAGGCTGGTCTTGAACTATTGACCTCAGGTGATCCACTTGACTTGGCCTCTCAAAGTGCTGGGATTACAGATGTAAGCCACTGTGCCCAGCCTTGGCTTTAAGTGTTTTACTCTCATGATAATTGAGGTTATATGTAATAAAGATAATACCAGTCTGCCCCAAAAATTATTTTAAAGAAGATATCCTCTTTAAGCACTTGAGACACTGACTAAACTGAGTACTGTTGATACGTGAAATTTGATAAAATGCTTTGTAAGTGATAAAGTTAGATAAATGGATGGATGGAGGCCTTTTTTTTTTTTTTTTTTTGAGACAGTGTTTCGCTATTGTTGCCCAGGCTGGAATGCAATGGCGCGATCTCAGCTCACTGCAACCTCTGTCTCTTGGGTTAAAGCAATTCTCCTGCTAAAACCTCCCGAGTAGCTGGAATTACAGGAATGAGCAACCATGACTGGGTAATTGTGTATTTTTAGTAGAGATGGGGTTTCTCCATGTTGGTCAGGCTTGTCTCAAACTCCCAACCTCAGGTGATCCACTTACCTTGGCCTCCCAAAGTGCTAGGATTACAGATGTGAGCCACTGCACCTAGCCTTGGCTTTAAGTGTTTTACTCTCACCATAATAGAGGTTATACGTATGTAATAAAGATAATACTAGTCTGCCCTAAAAATTATTTTAAAGACTACAGTATCCTCTTTAAACGCTTGAGACACTGACTAAATTGAGTACTATCGATGATAGACTACAGGAAATTTGAAAAAATGCTAAGTGATAAAGTTAGACAGACAGACAGACAGACAGATACACAGACAGACGGACAGACAGACAGAGGCTTTTTTTTACTGGAGACAGAGTTTCGCTCTTGTTGCCCAGGCTGGAGTGCGATGGCATGATCTCGGCTCACTGCAACCTCTGCCTCTCAGGTTCAAGCAATCTCCTGTTTCAGCCTGCCAAGTAGCTGGGATTACAAGCATGAGCCACCATGCCCAGCTAACTGTGTATTTTTAATAGAGACAGGGTTTTTCAATGTTGGTCAGGCTGTCTCAAACTCCTGACCTCAGGTAATCTGCCCGCTTTGGCCTCCCAAAGTGCTGGGATTACAAGCATGAGCTAACGCGCCCAGCCCAGTAACAGCATTATTTAAAAAAAATGTTTGGCTTGTCATTAAAGAAAATTTTTTCATTTTAAAGAAGTAGTTTACTAACTTCTGTAAATAGGAAATAAAGCTGAGTCCTAATACACAAACTGAAACTAAGATTAAAAAAATGATCTAGTTAAAAATATAAAGATATAAAAGTTAAATAGCTACAAGTAAAACTTCAATGTTATTATGCCTTTTGGGGGTAACTTTTGATGCACTACACAGGTACAAAACATACACATAATCATAAGTGTATAGCACAGTGAATTTTCAAAAACTAAACAGTTTTGTGTAACTAGCATCCAAATCAAGAACCAGAATATTACCAGCACCTCAGAAACCCCACCTGGTGTCTTTCAGTGACTACCCATCCCATCACCTCCAAGGATAAACAACATCCTGATTTCTAGAAATACTGATTAGTTTCCCCTGTATCTTAACTCATATAAATGGAACAGAATAGTACATAGTCTTGTATCAAATATAGTTAAGATACTACACCAAATTTGAAAGTGCTATGCTGCATCCTAAATGGAAAATGCCCTAAAGAGCCTTGTTCTAGATGTGAAAAAAGTTTTTATTAAAATCTTGAAATCTGTCAGTCAACACTAAAAATTAATTTTAGAAAGTTGTGTAGGATAGCAGCGAATCAAAACACAGTTGAGAGATGGAGCAAAAATATTTGGTATAAGGAAAAAATTTCATATATAGTATTATCTAGAAATATGTTTTTAAAAAAAAATCTGTGCTTGAGTATCATCCTATCAATTAATACTACTTCTAGCATCTGTTTGAGTTGTCTTTTTTGCCAAAAAAAAACCCCCAAAAAACCTTGAGAATCTAAAATGGAATTTTAGGCATCACTTGAGGTAGAGGAGATCAATTTTACCAAATTTTTCAAAGATAAAATCAGAGTACTTGTCAACCTGACTGATAATTTTATCAAATCACTTTCTGAAAGCATATCCAGCATGTTGTTTTTCAAAGTGTTTTTGCTCAGATCACCTGCCTAGGATGTTTATTAAAATGCTGAATTCTCAGGCCACACCTCAGACTCTCAGACTCTGAATTTTAATCAGGTTCCTTGGGTAATTATTAGGTACAGATATCTTAGAGAACTACTACTGTGAGAGAAATTAAGGAGAGCAGTGAGGAGGGAATATCTACATTTATGACCATTGCCAGAGGCCAATAAAATCACCGAGAAGTACTTTTCCATGTACTCTTGCCTATGTAGTTTTCATCCCTTAACTATTCTAATTTAATTGGCTTGGAATAGGGACCCTCTTTGTGTAGGCTGGGAAGAGAACATGCTTTACTTATGTGACAAGTTTATCTAGTCCCATCTAAAATATACCCTAAAATTCAGAGAAAAAAAATTCTTACTTTCCTAAAATTAAGAGAAAAAAGTTCTTTATTTTTCCTAAGGAAAATTTATTTCACGTCAGAAAAATTAACAACTGGAATGAGTTAAAGTCTGGGTACTGCCTTAACATATACTATATGATTTCGATCCATATATTCCACTGATTAATTCTCATAAGTTCTAGAAGTTATCTCCACCAATCTTTCCTGTTAGTGACTAAATTATTTTGTTTCTCATACAACAAAAAACAAAACCCCTTTAAAATGAAGGAGATAAGCTGACTCTCATAGGAAAGGTCCAGGGCCTCATAATACTATAAAAACAATCAGTACAGTGTATCTGATCAAAACAGTATTTGGCTTCTAAACAAAACAAAATCTTCTACTTACATTTCAAATTATAGAACTGTTTGGGCACAATTATCTTCCAGCCCAACATTTTCTTTTTCCTTTTTTTCTGTATCTTTAAGTTGTTCATAATTGAAGTCTTAATGATAAAATGGGGATAGGATACAGGGATAATGATTCATCAGTTTATTTGCATGTTTTTTAGGGATTCAATGTTCCAAAATATTTTTTTCAACCAATCAAGAAAGCTATTTGAATTACTTCTTAATAACAATAAAATTTGTCCTATATTGTAATTTAGGATAGTAAGTATAGTAGTACGTACATAAAATATGGGAGGGAGCATGTTCAGTGTTTTTTAATTGATAAAGGTGTGTAATAAACCTTTTGGAGAGTAGGCTGGGCATGGTGGCTCATACCTATAATCCCAGCACTTTGGGAGGCAGAGGGCAGTGGATCACCTGAAGTCGAGAGTTCAAGACCAGCCTGGCCAATGTGGCAAAACCCCATCTCTACTAAAAATACAAAAACAAAATTAGCCGGTGGCACAGTAGATCGTACATGTACATGGTAGCTGTAGTCCCAGCTACTTAGGAGGCTGAGGTGGGAGAGTTGCTTGAACCCAAGAGGTGGAGGTTGCAGTGAGCTAAGATCGCACCACTATACTCCAGCCTGGGCAACAGAGTGAAACTGTCCCAAAAAAAAAAAATATATATATATATATATATATATATATTTGGAGAGTACTGATCTAGAAACTCAGGATCTTGTATTCCACTTGTTCAATGGACACTCCTTTGGAAAGGTATAAATTAGCTACAACCATCTGAACAGTGTACCTTGGAGACAACTTTGGGATTAGCTTAATGGACAAGTTAGTATCCATGAAGGAAAGGCTATCACATTGGTGACTCTCTCAAAATCAAAAAGAGGGGGAAAACAAAAAAGGAAGTTTGGTTTTTCCCTTTTCTATTATGTCTAAGTACTAGGTTGGCTTTTATATTTTTTATACTAAATTTTTTTTTTAACTTTTAAGTTCAGGGATAGAAGTGCAGGTTTGTTAAATAGGGAAACTTGTGTCTTGGGGGTTTGTTGTACATATTACTTCATCGCCCAGGTATTAAGCCTAGTACCAATTAGTTATTTTTCCTGATCCTCTCCCTCCCCCAACCCTCTACCCTCCGAAAGACCCCAGTGTGTGTTGTTCCCCTCTGTGTGTTCACGTGTTCTCTTCATTTAGCGCCCACTTATAAGAGAACATGTGGTATTTGGTTTTCTGTTCCTGCATTAGTTTGCTAAGGACAATGGCCTCTAACTCCATCCACGTCCCTGTAAAGGATATGATCTAATTTTTTTATAGCTGCATGAGTATTCCATGGTATATATATAGCACATTTTCTTTATCCATTCTACCACTGATGGGCATTTAGGTTGATCCACATCTCTGCTATCAAAATATTTTCCTTTGTACTTTTTATTTCTGCATTTCTTACTATCACAGATTTATCTTTAACTCTTAAAGTTCATTATAGAAGGGAAAATAGTGAAAGAGAGTCAAGGAAAGCCTTTACAGCATCAAGCAAGTTTTTCGGTATCTCCCCACAGCTCTAGGATTCCTCCTCTTCCCCCATCCACCATGTATTAATAAATATCTCTTTTATACCTATATAGGGAAAGCAACGCATTTGATAGCAATGGTTCTCAACTTTTCCTTACAACACAGTTATCTCTGTAGTGCCTGGCACAGAGTACATAATCATAATAATAGCTTATATATCTAAAACAATCAATAATCTGTTAATTATCTGGTACATATTCTGTAACTAATAAGCAGTGTGATACTGCTTCATTTCAATACATTCCTTGTTAGATTATGGCATTAGACTAAATGAAAAAAATCCCATTTAGATAAAAGTCTATTATGTCCTCCCTACATATTATTTAATAATCTGAAGTTTCACAAACTAGTATGGGAAATTCAACCCTTCCTTTTTTTTAAAAGGCGAGAAGGAAACTGCACAGTTTGAATAATGTGTATGTTTCATAGGTCAAATGTGTCGGTCACCCCAGTAAGTGAAATACAAAGGTGCCAAGACTCTTGTCCCCCGCTATTGAAAGAGCAGCCACTGGTTGCTATGCGTGGTACAAAATAAATTTTAAGAACTCAGAGAGTACTTCTCCTGACACAACTTACTGTTGCCATACGTGACATTATAGTTCAACAAGTGATTATACAGGAGTTTCAGAAAACACCTATTTTGTGTATCTGTCTTAAACACGTTTCTAATATCACAAAACATAAATCAGAAAGATCTGCTGCAGCTCTCAACAGATGCTGACCTGTACTATAATGAATACTCAATAAACTGGTTCTAATTTCTTTAGATCATCAATTCAATAGATAATTATTCTCCACATATCAACCAAGATTATGATTTCCTATTATTATTTCCTTTCTGGACAGCCTCAATGAGCTTTAATAATAGTAATTCATTTTATGCCAGTTAGGTCTGATAAAACTTGGCAAGCTATATTGCAATTGAGAGTTATTCATAATAAAAAGAGAAAAGCAGGGGCCGGGCACGGTGGTTCACGACTGTAATCCCAGCACTTTGGGAGGCCAAAGCGGGCGGATCGCTAGAGGTCAGGAGTTTGAGACCAGCCTGGCCAACAAGGTCAAACCCCTTCTCTACTAAAAATACAAAAAATTAGCCAGGTGTGGTGTTGTACACCTGTAGTCTCAGCTACTTGGGAGGCTGAAGCAGGAGAATCATGTGAACCTGGGAGGTGGAGGTTGCAGTGAGCCCAGATCGTGCCACTGTACTCCAGCCTCGGTGACGGAGCAAAACTCTAACTAAAAAGAAAAAAAAAGCTGCATTTTAAATGGGATAGACCTGGCATGTTGCTCTTTTTCCCACTTTCTTCCTTTTTAAGCAACTTAATTTTCCAGTTAAGTAGTTCCTGAGATTGTTCACCATGAACATATATTCCTTTGGTTTTCAGATTAAACCAGCCTTTTATTCTTAATCAATAATGAACAGTGGGGGTTAAATAACCACTAAAGGATAAGTAAGTTATTTCATTGTTAGGTGGAAACAATCTGTGTAAGTTAATTACTTTGACATTCTGTTTTGCATACAATGAGAATCAACAAGCACCAATGTAACACCTCGATTAATTTTATCCATGAAAAAATAGATTTTCTTTTACAGAATTACAGATTCTACATGAAGATAAGGAAAAAAAATGTTGAGAAAACATGTCTTGGCTGGGCATGATGGCTCTCGCCTGTAATCCCAGCACCTTGGGAGGCTCAGGCGGGTGGATCACTTAAGCTCAGGAGTTTGAGACCAGCCTGGGCAACATAGTGAAACCCCATCTCTACCAAAGGTACCAAAAATTAGCCAAATGTGATGGTATGCATCTGTGGTTCCAGCTACCAGGGAAGCTGAGGTAGGAGGTTGCAGTGAGTTGTAATCTGCACTCCAGCCTGGGCAATAGAGCCAGATCCCATCTCAAACAAAACAAACAAAAAAAATGCCTTAACTTCTGACATTCATTCTCAAAAGACAAAAGTCATTTGCTCAGGAGGGATGGATTATTGTAGATAATTAAGCAGGAGCATATTCCAACCCTCCTCTGTTATGTCTCCTCAGTTTGCAGAGCTACTTTTGAAGTTCAGGGCTTATTCACAGGAGATATATAGGGAAAAACACAATGCACAGAAAATCAAGCTGTTTGAATTCAAAGACAAGCTGTATTCCCTCATTTCTCTTCCTACGAAAAACTGTAAACATAAAGTAGGTTGCAGATACAATATCAACTTCAGCGTGTTCCATAAAACATAAAGGGAAAACATGGAATGATAGCAAAAGTATAAACATACCTGTGATGAAATATTGAGAAAAAAATAAAATGTGTTCTTTCTCAAACTGCTGTGCTTTAAAGTTAAGAATAACAGATGCAATACAACAAGCTTCCATGTTAATCCAACACTTTAAAGTTTATCATTTTTAAATAGTTTTACTGGAATATAATTCATATACAATTCACCCATGTACACAACTGGATGGTTTTAGTATATTCACAGATTTGTACAACTATCACCACAAATAATTTGAGAACATTTTTATCCCCTCAAAAAGAAACTTGGTACTGATTAGCAATTACCATTTCCTCATAACTCCTCATCTCCACATCTAAGGAACTACTAATCTACTTTCTCTCCAACGGACTTACCTATTCTAGACATTTTATATAAATGAACGAATACATACATGGCCTTTTGTGACTGGCTTTTTCATTTCTCATAATTTCTTCAAGGTTCATCCAATATTGTGGCATATATCAGTACCTTAGTCTTTTAAAATTATCAAATAATATCCCATCATATATACATATTTTGTCTTTCATGCATCACTTGACAGCTATTTGCATTGTTACTACTTTCTAGCTACTATGAATGCTGCTGCTATGAATGTTAATGTAGACATTCTTATGTGAATATATGTTTTAGTCCTCTTGGATATATACTTTGGAATGCAATTGCTTGATCAGAGGGTAATGAAGCCTAACTTTTAATAGAGTTAGCTGAGTAAATGTTTAACAGAACAATATATTCTAAAATAAGGGTTGTACAAACTTTTTAAAAGCACTTACTCTACCCTGTATTAAGTAAATGCACTATAATTGCAAAATAAAAAATTCTGAAACTGAAATATTTTCTATTTTAAAAAGGTGCAGACTTGGCCAGATGCAATGACTCATACCTATAATCCCAGCATTTTGGGAGGCCAAGGCAGGCAGATAACATGAAGCCAAGGAGTTCAAGACAAGCCTGGACAACATGGCAAAAACCCCATCTCTACTAAAAATACAAACATTAGCCAGGCATGGTGGCATGGGCCTATAATCCCAGCTACTCAAGCTACCTTGAGTAGGAGAATTATTTGAACCCGGAAGGCGTAGGTTGCAGTGAGGGAAGATCACACCACTGCACTCTAGCCTGGGCAACAGAGGGAGACTCCATCTTTACCCCCAACCCCACCAAAAAAAGGTGCAGAGTTTACTAATTTAAAACATTGGTATTTCATATTTATTTAAATAAAAATGACTGAATTTACCTGTATTTGAGTACAAGAAATACTCAGTGACATTTCTGTAACAGTAAACAGTAACAGAAGTAAACAGCAGCCACGGAACAAATAAATAGTGAACATTTAAAAATCACTTACTACTGTTTCCTTGGCAGGAGGAGGCTTGATTTGTTGACTGGGGATCAGAACAAATGTTAAAGTACCATGCATATCAGACTGTAATAGAAAGATCAGGTTATTTTTAAAATTTGTATTTATGAAAACCATTCCATGATTTTATGATCTACATTCCCTAAACTGGAGTATTTCAGAACCCCTCCACAGGCTTACATGATGACCAGTGGCACTTAGCTCTACCAAACCAATGAATGGGGCTGGGTGAAAATAAGTGTGTGAAGATGTTTTATAGATTTTACAGCAGCATAAGCAGAGAGTGGAAATTCCACTGTAATAACAGATGCTGGGTAACTAGAACCATAAATCTGGTCTGTGGGTGTGTACAAAGTAATCATAAATTTCCCTCAAAAGATGTCTATAAATGATTTCCTGATTATACCAGCACTATCTAATAGAACTTTCTCCAATGATGGAATTGTGCTACTTCTGTATCTTAATATGGTAGCCATTAACTACATACTGCTTTTCAGCACTTGAAATGCAGCTAGTGTGAATAAGGAACTGAATTTTAAATTTTACTTAATTTAAACAGAAATAGCTACATGCAGCTAGTGACTATTATACTGGACACTGCAGATCTATGGCACTGTTACTGTCTAATATTATTAGAAAAACAACAATCAATTACAGATAATAAATAAAATAACGCAAAAAATGAGGACACAGACTTTGTTTTGTTACTATTTCCCAAATGGCTAGTGCATATTAGGCACTCAATAAATATGTACTGAGTGTATTAATGAGTTATATTACTACTGATTGCAGAAAAATAAAATTATTCTTCTGGCTGTGTCAACTTACCAACAAGTCAAAAACCTCATTGACATCTTTCCCCCGAATTTCAATGCCATTAATCTCTAGAACTTCATCTCCTTCATGTAACAGACCACTTTTCTCTGCAGCACCCCCTTTTACTATACGGCTAATGATGACAGAGTCCATTTCATTACGAACTGTAGCACCCTAAAAAAAAATTATCTAATTTAAAAATAATACAATCTTTTGTTAAGCATTTATTTTTAAATTCTATTTGTTTTCTACTCAACAATACTAACCTTCAGTTATCTTAAGAAAAAATTTACTTACACAGCTACAGTAATTGTAATTAGATTTAAAGGTTTGATCATTTTCTCCACATTTTCCACTTGAGAAATACTCTATTCATTAGAATTCTGAAATTAACCAGACTTTTGAAGCACACAACAGAAGAAAAATGCGCTTGCTTAACAACAGTATGTGGGACACTTACCAATGGAATATCACGAGCCTTTTCTATACGAACTATTTTTACAGTTTCTCCTCCATACTGGCCAATACTTTCATAAACTCTCTCATCTGTAATGGGCTCTAGCTGCATTTCCTGCTCAGCAACCTTATCGTGGGCCAGTAAAAGTGCCTGTTTCAAAGAAATCCATGGCATTTTAAGTAATAGCATGATTTATTTCTGCAGTGATTTTTAATCTCACTATGTACAAAGTATTCTGACCATTAAATATTTAAAAGTGCTATAATTAATTAGAGCTAATAATAAATAAAGATGTGTTAAGTATACTAAGGGCATACTCTGGAATGAAAGTCTAAAATACTTACTAAACTTCATAAAACAAAATCAATGTAAAGGCCTAAACACCCTAGATAATTAAAACTTATGGAAAATATAACCAAAAGGGGGAATAATTTTTGCCTAATTTTTAAAGAAACAGTCGTTTCAAAAATAATTTGGTTCATTTTAAATCTGAAAATATATAACCCAACAATAACTATTATGTTATAGACAGAGTTGTAAATATCAAAACTGGCTAGATAATATTTGACATCTCTTTCAGCCCTGGAGTCTTTGATTAAAAAAAAATAAAAGATTAAATCCTTCTCCTGTGATTAAAAAAAGGAAAAAAAAAAGAAATAAAAAAAATAAAAGAATACTGGAAAAACCATATATATAATCATCTGTCCATCTTCTACCTGGATATGTGGAGTATTCAGCAAAGTAGTTAGTTCTTGTCCTTCCTTATGATGAACTGGCTTCAAAACAGTTTGCACCTAAGAAACAAAAATAAAGATTATTCTTCCTAGATTATAGAAGTTATCAGTAGCACCTATATGCAGGGTCATATTTTTTAAATTGCAAATTAAAATAAAAAATACTTGTAAGAAAAAATCACTAAAAAGAATTATGGGTTTTCAATTTTGTTATTATGGATAACAGTATTTCTTATTTAAAAAACACTAAATAAGATTTTGGTACTTATGCCTATAGACAAAATACTTCTATCTTGAAAGTTTCTCCCTACATACCATAAAATTCATTAATAATAATTACATAAGAAAAGAAAAATTGTCCCAACAGTTACCTTGCTATTTTATAGTTCTAAAATAATTTATGTGACTATTTAAAATCAGAGATAACAACTTAAAGAGTTACAGTCTAGGCTGGGCATGGTGGCTCACACTTCTAATCCCTACACTTTGGGAGGCTGAGGTGAGCGGATTGCTTGAGCCCAGGAGTTTGAGACCAGCCTGGGCAACATAGTGAGACCTTGTCTCTATTTTATAATTTTTTTATATGATTAAGAAAAAAAGAGTGACAGTCTAGCAAGATGAATTTATATGAGTGTAATGGAACAATCACCATAATATAATGGATTTCATTAAATTTCCCACAGTCGAGAAATCTTTGTCTTTCTAGGATAAACTCCCCTTGGTTATTACTTTTTTTTAGCTTGTTTCCTTATCTGTAGAATGGCACCTACTATTTATGGTGCTTCAAAGAATGATTAAGAAAATCTTAAAACAGGCTAGATACAATGACTCATACCTGTAGTCCCAGCACTTTGGGAGGCCAAAGCAGGCAGATCATTTGGGGTCAGGAGTTCGAGACCAGCCTGGCCAACATGGCAAAACACTGTCTCTACTAAAAATACAAAAATTAGCCAGGTGGTGGCATGTGCCTGTAAATTCCACCTACTCAGGAGGCTGAGGCAGGAGAATGGCTTGAACCCAGGAGGCAGAGGTTGCAGTGACCTTAGGTGGCGCCACTGTACTCTAGCCTGGATGATAGAATGAAACTGTCTCAAAAAAAAAGTTCAGAAAAGAAATAAAGTAACTTATAATGGACTATTTTATCAGTAATTTCCATATGAAACCTAGGAGATGGTAATTTTGGGATTAATTAATTTTACCACAGCAAGTGGATCAAAGCAATGACAGTACCAAAACCAGTCTGTCCTGTGGTTTTGGCACCCAGAAAATTATATTTCTAATTGTAGAGTTCTATATTTGTAAACAGGATGGCAGAGCAAATGTTATCTTCTTCAAGAACTTAACTAAAATCTTACAAGGGACAAGGCCCATGATTTAAGACTGTGGGTAAGTAAAGTTGTTTTTAAAAGAGGGTTGTTTCCTTTTTAAGGTTCATCAAGTCTACATTAATTTTAAATGAAATCTGTAGTCTTCATCATACAAGTTTTGATAGCTGAAGAAACTGTGAGGATGGAAAGATAATTCTGAATTTAAAATGTACCAAGGGTGTACAAAATATGCTGAGTCAATTCCATAATAATTTTCTGTATTAGAGACTTTTTCCTATTCTCACTTTTAAGTCAGTTCCTAAACATCTCTGAGATCTTCCCTCCTAAAGAAATTTAGAACTACTGTGTTTACCCAGTGTCCTACTAAGCTATATGTTGCTTATTGTGGTGTCAACACATATCAACAACTACTTCTACAAAGGCATTAAGGAATTAAAGGCTATTCTTTTATCCTACCACTCCTTTCCATTGGCCTATAAAAATGCTCTAATCTCTTATCTTTAAAAATACCCTTTCCTGACCTTGTTTGTACTCTTCTTCAGCTATACCACTTTTCCTTGTTTTCCTTCAGAGGCAAGATCCTTTTGCATTTTAAAACTAATTTTTTAATTATAAAAATGATATATATCAAATGCAAAAAAATCAGAAAATCAATAACCAAAAGGAAGTAAACAGATGGACTTTTATTGTACTCAGGGAAAATCACCTTGGTATATAACCTTCCCGCATTTTTCTATTTGTCTTTACCAAAATATTCACCTTGATATATGTATCTGACAAAGAACATGTAGCCAGAATATATTAAAAACTCTTAGAACTCAAGATGAATAAAATAGAAAAGAGATCTGACTGGGTATTTCACTAAAAGATAAATAGTCAATAAAAATATAGAATGCTCACTATGTAATGCAAATCAAAACAATATACCATTGCTTACCTACTAGAATCATAAACAAGAAACAACCCAAATATATATCAATAGGTGAGTAGTCAAATTATGGAATACTCAAAGAATGAAATAATAACTCAGCAATTTACAAACTACTGATACAAGAACAACATGGATCTCAAAAACATTATACTAAACAAAAGAAGTCTGATAGAAAAGACTATTGTCTTACTACATTTATATAAAATGTCCACAAATGACAAATTTGTAAAACAGAAAGCAAATTAGTGGATAGTTATAGGGCCTGAGGGTTGAAAGAGGTGGTTACTGTCTGTAAAGGGTCATGGGAGAGAAGCTCTGTGGCGTGATGGATGCTTCTATAATTTGATGGCAGTCGCACATTTTACAGATATACATAATTGTCAAAATACACTGAACTATACAATAAAACACACTCATTTTTAGCGCATGTAAATTATATCTCAATAAAGTCGGTTACCCCAAAAATGTACCTTCAACATCTAAACTTTGAGATAATGTCTATGTATATATCCCTTCTTTATTCTTTACTTTTTTTTCTTTTTCTTTTTTTTTTTTTGAGATGGAGTCTCACTTTTATTGTCCAGGCTGGAGTGCAATGGCATGATCTTGGCTCACTGCAGTCTTCACCTCCTGAGTTCAAGCCATTCTCCTGCCTCAGCTTCCTGAGTAGCTGGGACTACAGGCACCCGCCACCACACCCAGTGCCAATTTTTTGTATTTTTGGTAGAGATGGGGTTTCACCATGTTGGCCAGGATGGTCTTGAACTCCTGACCTCAGGTGGTTCACCCACTTCAGCCTCCCAAAGTGTTGGGATTACAGGCGTGCGCCACTGTGCCCGGCCCCTATAATAGTATTTTATAACTATTTGGACATGATACTAATAAATAACTAAAATATTTTTCTATGTCATTAAATATCCTTTTTAATTCTATAACAGAAATATGACCATTCTAGTTCTGAGTGGCTGTCACTTACAAGATTAAGTCTAAGCTCCTTAGTATTAAATCTAAGGACTGTGGGCTGGCTGTGGTGGCTCATGTCTGTAATTCCAGCACTTTGGGAGGCCTGGGGGGGAATCATGAGGTCAAGAGATCAAGACCATCCGGAGCAATATGGTGAAACCTCGTCTCCACCAAAAGTACAAAAATTAGCTGGGCATGGTGGTATGCGCCTGTAGTCCCAGCTACTCAGGAAGCTGAGGCAGGAGAAATGCTTGAACGCAGGAGGCAGAGGTTGCAGTGAACCAAGATGGCGCCACTACATTCCAGCCTGGTGACAGAGCAAGACTCCATCTCAAAAAAAAAAAAAAAAAAAAAAAAAAAAAAAATCTAAGGACTGTCACTATTTGATTCTTTCACCTTTTCCAGCCCTATCTATCTCCTGGCATTCCTTATATCTTTCTGGTTCAGCATCAAGCTGCTTGTTCCCTGCACAAACCATGCTGTCCCCCAACAATGACTATGATTATACTAGCTGTCCCAGCTACCTAAATTGCCTTATTCTACTTGCCTAGATAATATGTACTCATAAAACTGAACATATTTGATTTAAAATTATCAGTAGGGCTATTTCCCCACTACACTGAGCTCAATGAAGATAGAACCTGTATTTTATTCAACTTCATATTTGGCTACTGGCAGAATGTCTGGCAAACAGCACTGAAATATTTAATGAATTCAATGAAAGGAAGAGAGGGTAGGAAGTCATCCTTGATGTCTCCTTTACCTTTATTACCCACATAGAGACACTATGTCCTACTAATTTTCTATGTAAATATTTCTATACTCTATGTGCAACTACTACTCAAAATCTTACATCTGGACAATGACAATCGCCTCCATATAACTCTGTTTCCATTGACTTTCCAAAATGTTAGCAAAGTAATACTTTAAATTAGAAGCCTGTTTAAATATGTATCTGTTAAAAATTCTTCAATAGATTCACAATTATTTCTAGAATAAATTTCTTGCTTTAAATTTTTTATGAAGTGACCTTTTCCTGTTAAATTTGAGAAACACAAAAAAACTAAGAAAATTACCTATTTATCTAACACCCAGAGATAGCCTTTTTTTTTTTTTTTTTGAGATGGGGTTTTACCATGTTGGCCGGGCTGGTCTCGAACTCCTGACTTCAGGTGATCCGCCTGCCTCGGCCTCCCAGAGCGCTGGGATTACAGGTGTGAGCCACCACGCCCAACCCAGAGATAGCCTTTTTAAGAGTTTATTAATTCTTCCAAAACCTCTTACATGTTTAAATGAGATATGTGTGTGCATTTGTACAAATTAATTCATATTTCCCTGTTCCTATACAACTTCATAATTCATTACTTCTTCCTGTTTTATTGCACTGGCTGCTACTGCCAAAAAAATGTTGAATACTAGTGGTAGGCATCTGGAGGTTCTTTATGTTATTCAAGACTTCAATGGCAATGTGTGGGTGTTTCACCATTAGGGACAATTGGTTTCTGGTATTATTCTTTTTCTTTTTTTCCCTTTTCCCAAAGTGCTTTGTCACACATCTGGTATTATTTCTGACTATCTAGTTAAAACAATGTACCTGGACTTATTCAAGACTTAAATGGCAATGTGTGGGTGTTCCACCATTAGGGACAATGCTATTGGTTCCTAGTATTATTCTTTTTCTTTTTTTTCCCTGTTTTTCTCCCAAAGTGCTTTGTCACACCATCTGGTATTATTTCTATCAAGTTAAAACAATGTGCCTGGCTTTCTAAGAATTTTTATCATCAAAGTATTGAATTTTTTTCATATGTCTTCTCTGTATCAAAATGATCATGGGGGCCAGATGCTGTGGCTCACATCTATAATCCCATACTTTGGGAGGCTGAGATGGAAGAATTGTTTGAGCCCAGGAGTTTGAGATCAGTCTGGGCAACACAGTAAGATCCTGTCTCTTAAAAAAAAAAAAAAAAAAAAGAGAGAGAGAGAAAGAAATTAGCCAGGCATGGAGGTGCACATCTGTAGTCCCAGCTACTCAGGAGGCTGAGGTGGGAGGACTGCTTGAGCCCAAGAGGTTGAGGTTGCAATGAGCCATAATCATGCCACTGTACAGCAGCCTGGGTGACAGAACGAGACTCTGTCTCAAAACAAAGATCATATGGTTTTCTCCTTTTACCTATTCATATAAGTTAACTATTTTAAAATATTTACAAAAGTAATCCATCATAAGATAAATTTAAATTTATTAATGGCCTTCAGGATCTGGATACCATCTTTTAAGATTATGTCCTACTCTTTACTTAGCATTCAAGAAACATGCCAGGCTTTCTCTCTCAACCCTGTGACAATGGAATGCCTTTTCCTCTTTCTTACATTTCCTGGTAAATTCCCAGTCACCTCTCAAGACTCGGCAAATTAAATTTCCTTCTATGTTTCTTCCTACTTCCTATCACTTCCCTCATCCTCCCCATTCCCGCAACACAGAATCAGGCATATCCCAGTGCTGTTGGCACTTTTCTCATACTGCCATCATAGCACTTCTCATTAGACTGTAATTGTTTACTCATTGTGCCTCCACAGTGAAAGTCTAATTCAACATTCACGGGTTGATGGACATCTAGGTTGTTTCTAGTTTCTGACTATTATCTGGTTGCTATGAACATCTGTTTTTAAGTTTTTCTATGGATACATTTTCATTTCTCTTGGGTATATACCTAGGAGTGAAATTGCTGGGTCACAGTATATAGGTGCATTAGCTTTAGCAGATACTGCCAAACATTTTTCCAAAGCAGTAGTACCAATTTATACTCCACCACAGATGTATGAGAGTTTCAGTTGTTCCATAAGTTCACACACAATACTAACAGTCTTTTAAATTGTAATCATAGTCATTCTGGTGTCAGTGTAGCAGTATCTCACTTTGTTTTAATTTGCATTTCTCTGTTGGCTAATGATGCCTATATCTTTTCATTGCTACTGGCCATTTGGATTTCCTCTTTTTTATGAAGTGACTGTTCTTTGTCAAAATTCTTTTTTTAACTGAGTAGTCTTTTTTCTTATTAATTTGCAAGAGTTGTTGTTTTTTGTTCTTGTTTGAGACAGGTTCTCATTCTGTTGCCCAGACTGGAGTATAGTGGCACAATATCAGCTCACTGCAACCTTTGCCTCCTGGGTTCAAGTGATTCTCCTGCCTGAGCCTCCCAAGCAGCCGGGAACAGGTGCACGCCACTACAGCCGGCTAATATTTTTTGTTTGTTTTTTGTTTTTGTTTTTTTTAGTAGAGACAGGGTTTCACCACGTTGGCCAGGGTGGTCTTGAACTCCTGACCGCAAATGATCCACCCGCTTTGGCCTCCCAAAATGTTGGGATTACAGGTGTGAGCCTCCCAAAGTACTGGGATTATAGACCGTGCCTGGCCAACAAGAGTTCTTTATATATTCTATAGACAAATTTTTGTCATACGTGTATTTATAGAAACACATATATACTTCAATATCTCAAAATCAAATATCATTTCCCAGTGTGTTTTCTTTCATTTTTACTCTCTTAAAGGTATTTATAAGTTCATCTAATGAAGTCCAAGTTCTCAACCTTTTCTTTATAAAAATTCCATTAAAATTCAAGAAATTTGGTTTGTGTTTATTAGTAAATATCCTAGATCCTCAAAGTTTAATATAGACCTTAAAATTTGAGGTTTTCATAGGTTTTATTATCTATTATATGGTATCTAGTGTTTAACTGATATTTTAAGCTATATAAACAAAGAATACTTCTAAATATTTCACTAAATTCCTTGAGATTTTTTTTTTTAACTTAACCTCACTAGGTCTCAATAGTCAGAATGAAAACAGGGGAGTTGAACTGGTGATTGCTAATATGTTTTTCAGCTGTAAAATAAAGGCAATGGGTCCATTTAACCTTCACAATTTTGTTAACAGATTTAACACTCCTCTCTTTGATGAGTTCTGACTATGCGCTTTTTTCACAAGTATACTGAAAAGGCAACTTCACAGTCATGCATGCTCCAGGGAAAACCATTCATGTTCTATCACTGAAGACACTGTAGATACTGTAAGGATGTGAAAGCAGACTTTCAGAAAATCTCCTTTATACAGTACTTTTAAAATTGTGAACTATACTATATTCACATATGTGAATATGTGAACTATCCTAAAACTAATAATCAAAATGGATTTTTTTAAAGCCCTTTTTAACAACTTCTTTCTCTCCAGCGCATTTACTCTCTCAGCCACTTCTAGTTCTTTGCTTTTCTCAACTCCTAAAGCCCTTTAAGCTAAGTTGTTTCTTTTCTCCCTTCTTTCCACCTTTCCATTATGTGTGTCAGCTTTTTTCAATTGGAACAATTCTGATCTCTCCTGCTTCTCTCACTCTCTTCTTCGCCCATGCTGTATTTAGCAAAACAAGGACCCGGCAGCCAGCTGGACAAACCTTCCTCCTAAGAGGGACAGGAATGATTATGATAATTTATTTTGTATTCTTCCCAAATTCACACTATAAAAATTATACTATGTATGTGAATAGTATAAGATCGAAGTAATGTTATTTCAATCTCTGTAAGAGAAGTAACTTTTAGAAATTTCAGAAAACCATTTAAACCATTGTAAATAAACATGACAAGTGAGAAAAATATATTCCTTGGGGACAATTGTGTGCTAATCTACAAAGTACCTCCTAACCTATTTATAGGTCTGTAGCTCTAGATGTCCTCCTTCGCCAATAGCCCATTTTCTGTCTCCTGCTGGCATTCAATGAAATACACATTCACTTGATGGGATTCCATAAGTTTTCATTTTAATAATACCAAAATAACTTAAAACGCTAGAATAATGAGAGACTGTCTACTCCTCAAAACAGGAGAGTTTATTTATATCCTTTTTAAATCTTAAATTTAAAAGATGTTTGCAGAGCAGATTAAACACTGAACACTGGTTAGCATGAGAAACAAGAATTTATGATATCATGTTAACAATAAAAACTCTCATAGTACATTAAGATTTAATAATTTGATATGTCTACAGTTTTTACAGGAGGAAAACTTCAAAATACCTAGACATAATAAATCTTATGAGTTATATAATACCTGATGGTCAGTTATAATTTTATCTCATCAGTATTCACTATTTCAGTTTATAATGTATAATGCTTAAAATTCATAAAACTATGCTAAAAACATTAAAAAATTGCTCTCAAGTAATTCAAATATTTGTTACTATCCAAATTTATAATTTTATATATAAAATTAACTCTTCATGAAACAGAGTTCTGACTCTGAGGCAATTTTTTTTTCAGGATAAAACGCATGTAGTAAACTTTTCCACCACAATACATATCTTATAGTCACATTAGTATTTTCCAATAATCCTGTCCTCCTGCCACTGCTAATTACCTTGCAGACATCAACAGTTTAGAATACATACCTCTTGAGCAAGATCTTGTGCATTGGAGATAAGAGGAAATGGAGGACTGGCCTTGTTCATGTGTACTGTGATGGCATTGTGTATCTTAAATGCATTCTGGAAATCCTTATTTTGAACAAGTTGTAAAAGCAGTAAAATATCCTCCTGGCTCTGAGAATCTACCAAAGTATGCTGGATATGTTTAAGTGAAGAAAATAAGTCTTCTATTTCTAGTAGGAAAAGAAAAAGGAATCCAAAAATTAATTGTTTCAGTATTAATCCAACAAGCATTTCAAGAGAAAATTTATTTGAATCAGTGACGATTTAAGTTTTCAGAAAAATACCAAAATCTGCATATATTACTGAGTGTCAATCATGGTCATTTTATAGAATTTTAAGTAAAACATTCTAAAAAAATCACACAACAGAATAACTTGCATTTTTAACAAGGTGTTTTAATTATAAAACTAATACATGTTCACTATAAAAACAAGTGAGGAAGGAATACAAAAATTAATAAAGAAATTTAAAACTACCAATAATCGCATCACCTAGAAATATTTTTTTCTTAACATCTTATTTCCTTTTTAACAGTACATTGTAAATGATTTCCCATATCACTAGTCTTTTAAAATATTTATATATAGGCCGGGTGCAGTGGCTCACACCTGTCATCCCAGCACTCTGGGCGGCCAAGGTAGGCGGATCACGAAGTCAGGAGTTCAAGATCAGCCTGGCCAAGATGGTGAAACCACATCTTTATTAAAAAGACAAAAAAAGTAACCAGCTGTGGTGGTAAGTGCCTGTAATCCTAGCTACTTGGGTAGCAGAGACAGAGAATTGCTTGAACCAGGGAGGCGGAGGCTGTAGTGAGCTGAGATCGTGCCACTACACTCCAGCCTGGGCTACAGACAAGACTCCATCTCAAAAAAAAAAAAAAAAAAAAAAATTATATATCATGATTGCATGATATTCTACTACATGGCTAAACCATAATTTATAGTAACCATTAAACTAAAGTTGAACATTTAGATTGCTTCCAACGTTTTGCTACCATAAAAACAAGCATTCTAGTACATAATAATCAGTGCTACAGATAAATTTGTCTCAGATTCTTCATAAAGTAATTCCCAGAAATAGAACTTTTAGATAAGATTCTGACATTTTTAAAGAGTCAAACAGCTTTCAAGGGAGGCATTACTAATTTGCATTCTATTAGCAATATTTTCACCAATTAGAGATCATTTTTAAAAAATCTTCTATTTGACCTATTAATAGGTAAGTTGAGGTTTATTCATATTTACCAGGCACTTGTTTTGCAGTATATAAAACTCTAATGAATATGTGAGTCTCCTAAAGTTGTACTGAAAGTTGTGCACACGTGTACGTGTACTGTATCTGCCTGTTAGTGTGCATGCCTAGCACAAGCATTTTTCTGGAAAATACTATTCCAAAATGGTTAAGAAGCACTGGTAGTCTCTTCTCTGCTCCCAAACAGGCTGTGTGTATGTATATGTGTGTGCGCACATATGTGTGAATATACTCTGTCACATTTGTTGGGAATAGTTTTCCAGTATTTCCATTTGTCTCTTTATTTGTAGTTGCTTTTATTAATTTCATTATAGAAGTTTTCAACTCTTTTTCCTTTTTTTTTTTTTGAGACAGAGTCTTGCTCTGTCACCCAGGCTGTAGAGCAGTGGCACGATCTTGGCTCACTGCAACCTCCGCCTCCCGAGTTCAAGCAATTCTCTGCCTCAGCCTCCTGTGTACAGGGGATTCCAGGCATCCACCACCATGCCCAGCTAATTTTTGTATTTTTAGTAGAGATGGGGTTTCACCATCTTGGCCAGGATGGTCTTGAACTCCTGACCTCATGATCCGCCCGCCTTGGCCTCCGAAAGTGCTGGGATTACAGGTGTAAGCCACCACACCCAGCCAGAAGTGGTTAACTCTTATATGTTAAGAATGACCCCTTTCTTTTCCTGTGTGATTTCTTTAACTGTTTCTATGCTTATAAGCTTCTTGTAAGTCATTAAAAAATATTTATCTAGATTTCTTCTAGCATCTTATAATTTCTAATTTAACTTCTGTTTAATTTTAATCCATTTGGAGTTTATTTCAGCATAGATCTGAAAAATTTTCACTTTATTTTTCTTCAAAATAACCAATGATTCTAGTACCATTTATTAAATAATCATTCCTGGCCAGGCGCAGTGGCTCACGTCTGTAATCTCGGCACTTTGGGAGGCTAAGGTGGGTGGATTGCTTGAGTCCAAGAGGTCTAGACCAGCCTGGGCAACATGGTGAAACCCTGTCTCTTTTAAAAATAAGAATTTTTTAAAATACGAAACATTAGCCAGGCATTGTGGCATGTGCCTTAAGCCCAGCTACTCATGAGGGTGAGGTAGGAGAATCCACTGAGGCCATGATCATGCCACTGCATTCCAGCCTGAGCAACTGAGTGAAACCTCATCGAAAAATAATCAATCATTCCTTTTTCACTGATTTATAATGCCACCAAATTCTTACACATATTAGAATTTGTCTTTATTTCACTGGTCTATCAGAACTATACTGTCTTATTATAGTAGCATTATAATGTTTGTTCATATTAACATGACAAGTACCTGATCTTTATAAATTTCTTGACTATTATAAATTAGTTTGTGTAAGTCACTTGATTTTTCAAGTTACCTCCCATTCCCTCTTTCCTAGTCTTCCAAAAAGAAAAGTCCTATTGAGACTTAGACTAAAATTAAACCTGTAAATGTGTCTAAGAAAAACTTAGAGCACATACTAGGACTTATACAATCAAAGACATAGTATAAAAAAGACACTGGAAAATATCTTTCTAATGTGCCTTGTTGTCAGCTTTCTTCTTAAAAGGCCTGCAGAAACACAACCGACTGTTAATTATCTTGTATGCCACAATTTGAACAGCAGTTAAAGTTTTAAATAGATTCTAACAGTTCTTCAGTTGATTCTTGAGGTTCCCTACCTTTCCTGCCCAAAATCAAAAGAACTTTACTCTTCATTTTAAATATATATATACATTTAGTCTTCCTTAGTTTATATATATAGTTGTCCCTTGGTATCAGTGGGAGATTGACTCCAAGACCTATCACAGATACCAAAATTTGCAGATGCGTAAGTCCCTTATATAAAATGGTGCAGTATTTGCATATAAGGTATATACATCCTCCAGTTACCTAAAATCAGCTCTAGATTACTTATAACACTTAATGTAAATGGCTGTTACATTGTACTGTGTAGAGAATAATGACAAGGAAAAATATTTTTATAAAGACTTAAAAGTCGGCCAGACACAGTGGTGACTCATGACTATAATCCCAGCACTTTGGGAGGCCTAGGCAGGTGAATCATGCGAAGTCAGGAGTTTGAGACCAGCCTGGCCAACATAGTGAAACCCTATCTCTACCAAAAAAATACAAACATTAGCCAGGTATGGTGGTGTGCTCCTGTAGTCCCAGCTACTTGGGAGGCTGAGGCAGGAGAATTACTTTAACTCGGGAGGCAGAGGTTGCAGTGACCCAATATCACGCCACTGCACTCTAGCCTGGGTGACAGGGTGAAACTCAGTGAAAGAAAAAAAAAAAGAAAAGGAAAGAAAAAAAAGAGAAGGAAGGAAGAAGGAAGAAGGGAGGAAGGGAGGGAGAGAGGGAGAGAAGGAAGGAAGGAGGGAAGGTGGGTGAACTACTTTTTTCCTTATCATTATTCTCTAAACACATACATATATGTGTGGTCATCAGTAGTTTAAAATAAAGAAAAATTGGGGAAAACATTTAAAAGTCAAAATTGTCATTAGAATGACCTACGAAGCTGTGGCCCAGAGCTAGGTAAGAGCTGAGAGATAGCCAGAATTTAACCATAAGCTAATATTAAGAATAGACAGGAAGAATAGAAAATGTCAGATTCCATCACATACAATGAGGTTACCAAAGAATTTCTTAACAGTGCAAAGAATTCCCTAAGAGATTAAAGAATTCAACAGCTTTAAAGTATCTTAAAAGCAAAACATGAAAACATTTAAATATCTTAAAAAGAAATCACAAAAGCAACAAAGCAGTTAAGCTTCGTAGAAGCTACAATCTCGTGGAGGCCTAGAATTCTGAGAAGATAATTAAATTATTGTTTAATTGAAACAATTTTTTTTTTGGTAGAAATTGAGTCTGTAACTCCTGGCCTTGAAAAATCTTCCTGTTTCGGTCTCCCAAAGTGATAGGATTATAGGTGTGAGCCACACTTTGCAAGGCCTTTAGTAATTGTTAAAAGGGCCTCATTGCCAGGCGCAGTGGCTCCCACCTGTAATCCCAGCACTTTGGGAGGCTGAGGCAGGTGGATCACCTGAGGTCAGGAGTTTGAGACCCAGCCTGACCAACATGGAGAAACCTGGTCTCTACTAAAAACACAAAATTAGCCGGGCATGGTGGCACATACCTATAATCCCAGCTACTCAAGAGGCTGAGGCAGGAGAACTGCTTGAACCCCAGGTCGAAGTGAGCTGAGACTGCACCACTGCACTGGCTGTTAGGGTATTTTAAAAAATTGAGAGCCTCAGATCGCACTGCTGACTGAAATCAACAAGCAGCCTTAGAGAGCCCAGAAGGTTATCCCTATTGGGTGTCTTCAACCTCAGGGGAATTAAAATTTTTTAAGGCCAAGAGTTTCTGCATAATCTCTTCTATGTACCAAAGCCACTCACAAGGACATTAAAATACTGACATTATTTTGAAAATTATCTGTACTTCTACCTTTCGGTTATAACTACTGGTATTATTTTGTTATGCTATGTAGCCTTTCTAACTTTTAAAATGCTGGTCTAACCATAGAGATGACACTGTAAATGCTGTTTTGCAACCTATTTTTCAAGTCCTTGGAATTCCTAGGATAAAATTATTAATCACATAATAAAAACCATTTAACACTTTGATACATACTGCCAAGCTGCCTTCTGGATTTGTACTAATTCATACCCCTGCCAGTAATGCACATGAATGCCTATTTCCACAAACACAAATCCAATTAAGAGTTACCAATCTTCTAATTTTTGGAGATTTGGTACGACTGAACATATTTTTACAAGTTATAGCCATTTGAATTTCTTCTTTCATCCACTTTGTTTCTCTTCTGCCCATTTTTCTACTAGAGTACTTTTTGATAACTAGAATTAAACTGATATTTCTGAAGTTTTAACTAGAATATACTAAAT